TCTCTTAAATTTGCAGTTTTATAGCCATATGTAAAGGCCTTTTTTAGGGCCAAAATGCAACAAATTGGAAAAAATTGGGGGCAAATGTGCAATTTTCCGGAGGAATATCCTCGGAAGTACCCATCGAGGTCCTACACATCCCCCGTGTTTCGCCGGCGAAAATTTGCGATACCGTACGGATATGCTACGTCGCGCGCCCGAAATAAATTGGTCTGCGGCAGATTTCCGCCGGGCGAAAAACCACCGTAACTGTCCCGTGCAGTGTTTTGAAGCGAATTAAGATAACATGTACGTGCAGTGTGCCAGCATACAACAGTGGGCTACATGCGCGCAGTCCATGGCCGCAGGCTATATAGCTGTGACGTCCAATCACGATGGCCTGGTCAACGATCGACCATGCATGCAAGATGTGTATACCGGTATTGTGCATGATCATCATTGCAGGTTCACTTGAGGCAAGCCGCGTTTGCTAAATTGCGGCGCAATCGGTTAGTAGCTTAATGAGCCGTCCAACAGTTGATTTTATCCGAAGTGTCGCGTGTGAAGGTAATCTTGCGCCGGGGTTGCCAAATTTTGGCAGTTGTAAAACTTCGCAAATGTGGCCATGGGGCATACTTGGTTTTGCTTCAGATGTTCATGATCAGTCTTTGCTTCAATAGCTTGAACACGACGTGCAGCGCACTTCCATTCGGATCAGATGCGGCACTGTAACTTAAGAAGATCAAAGCGTCTTTTGCAGATCTTCCAGCTCTTGCCTAAGGGCAGCTTCCTGCCCCAGCTTTTCTCTCTGTGCCGGAGGTAGCGCCCCCGCGCCTCCCGCGTCAGCCGCCTTCTTTTTGAGCTCGTCAATCTGGCGCAACTTCTTTTGTACCGCACGAATCTTTTTGCCGGTCTCACCCGGGACTGCACGTGAACAAGCAGGATGAAAAGTGTCTCTTGGTTAAGACGCGCCCTTCCACGACGCACCACCTTCTGAGAATTCCATTGATGTGAGCCTTTCACTTCTTCGCAACCAGAGAGGACTACGACTCCGCAGTGACAAGGCGCCATCAAAGATTGTAAGGCGGCATCACAGATTCCCACAGCTCTAGCTGGAGCCTTCCTACCAACGCAGGGGGATGGCCGCGAAAAAAGAGCCAGAAAGTTCTGGGTTTGGCACCATGCTCACTTTCAGCTTCCTCGATTTGGGTTGCTTGGACCTGGGCCGCCAGTGAGTCCTGCAAACGCAAAGGGTGGCCTCAGAAAAGCTGGTTTACCTCCCAGAGTGGGAACTTCCATGCCGCTGTCATTCTTTTGCGAGCGAGCATATGTCTTCGAAAACGGTTTTGCAGAGGCACATGCTGTATCCTGTAACAACCCAACGATTCCTCTCGAAAGCCCGACCTCCACGCCTTGGAAACCTGAGTTGCGTTGGGAAATTTATGAAGGATTTGTGCGGAGCCCTCACCACAGCAACGCCCTCGCCGTCCGCGTCCTGTCCGTCCGCCTCCTTCTTCTCGCGCTTCTTCTTATTTCGTTGGGCGCTTCTACTCAACCTGTAAACAGGGAGTTCTCGGGCAGAGTGGGCGGCCATGTAATCGGCTAAAACCGTCACTCAACCCCAAGCTTTCCACGAAGGACCACGTAAAGCATAGTATGGAGCTGCCAGGAAATTGGTGGAGATACCAAGGAGCGAAAAGAGCGCAGCAAACAGACAGCAAGATGAATCACGTGAAACCGCTGTTATCAGGTAAGGGATCGGGTCGAAGCATGCGGCCAGAGTGTCCCTAATGTAAGGAAGAAAGAGACAAGGCTTACGCTTTTGGCTTGTCGTCATCCCCAAAGAGCTGCACAGTACAGCAGAAAAGGCGGTATGAGGAACAGCTAACCTCTATTTGACAGCATAAAGGGCGGCAATCAACGAAAATCCACGCAATCATCGCACAAAAAAAACCAGGGGTGCGAGGGCGAAGAATTCAGACAATCGACCCTGCGCTCCAGTCTACACCGCAACCTTTTTCAGGCTCCGACAAGAACACTCACAGCCGACTTGATGCTCGCTGACGTGGCGGCATGCGGATGCACGTATGCAACGGGCTTCGGAGCGATGTACGGCTTTTTCTCCTGGGCGGCGGCCGCGGCCTGGCCCGACGTGGACGCTTCGTCGCTCTTGCTTGCCTTGGGCGACGGAGGGAGGTCGGGGAAGACGTCCCGGGCAGCGGGGGCCCATTCCGCCTGCGAAATGAGGGCGGGGACACTGAGGAAACGGGTCGATGGAAAGGGTTTCGAATTGGAATCACGCTCCGTTTGTAAGTTGCCTTCGCGGGTTCACTCTATGCAGCTTTCAGTCGTCTTCAATAATCGGCAGATGATCGTCGGTCAAGGTAGTTGCAGGCAATGAATGGACTTCCTGACCGAGGGGGAGGGGCACGTGTTTTCATATGATGCCCCCAACGGCAACAAGCTATGCATTGTCTGGCGCGCCTCAGCCGAATACCGAGTAGGTGTAATGGCATTCGAACGGGCTCTCAAAGTCACCTTTGCGGGTGGCACCGGCTTGTTAAGTTGGTATTGAGGTCACAAATCTCTTTTCTCACCTGATATAGCTGATCGTACGGCTGTTGATAAACTAGCCGGCCGTCGTACTTGAGGATCTTGATCCTGCAAGCAGCGAAGTTCCAGCTCAATCAGGCGGCACCATCGACGGTGCAAGACTCCCCGATTGAGTTGCCAACGTCATCCTTTCGTTTCACGCCTTTTGAATGAGTTGTCTGGATCCCTGCACATCATTGCTCCATCTTTCGTGGTAGATCACAGGACAACGAGCGACTCAGATCAGTAGGGGAGTAGCTTGGATGGATACTGAAGACTGAGAACCTGAAAGAGTGCAAGGGAGAGGCTCAAGAGTCTGGCGCTCACCCATTGTCGACCTGCAGCCGGGGCGACGTGGTGGCGCACAGCAGATAGCGCCCGCTGGGGCCCCACTCGCACGTCACTGTCATCGGGGCACGGGTCTTGCCCAGCAGCTTCAGCTGGCTCCGCTCCCAAATTTCCTGCAAGGAGCGAACGCCAAAAAGGAAGCTGAGTGAGGGTGTTTGCAGACTGGCTCGGCGTATCATTGAGATGTCCCAGCATGGCTTCAGCGTATCATTCGAATGTAGCGCCATCAGTCCTCGGTATTTGGAAAGAATTACATGGAGACTACCTTTAGTAAGCCGACCGATTGCTGGTGAGCATGTTGAGCGTCCAAAAAAACATCCTTTCAGATGGTAAAAGGAATGCACAGCCCCTAAAGAATTTCAAGGACGCCCGAGGACGGCACTTACCACGTCACCTGGAAGATTTCCAAACCCTGCCAAGCAGATGACTGCAAAGAAGACGACAGAGGGTCGTTAAACACTTCGCAATCACAACACCGGAGACAAAGTCAACGAAGGAGGACGACATAGAGACTCCAAAAAAGACTGCTCTGCAAGGCTTGCTCCCGAAGGGGTGAAGAGTGCCTTGTGGGCACAATAGAATCCTTCGGCGAGCACTTTCTGAAAGGTTCGATGCCAAAACAAGAGGGAACGCGACAGAACCAGTTCCATTTTGCCAAGGTACTGCTGAAATCTAGAAACGGTATGACGACACGCGTCAGAAGGCCGGAGGAGACTCACATCGACCGTGGGGGCTCCACTTGACCATGTTCCGTGGGCCGGAACCAAAGTCATGGAGGGTCTTGCACCGCGAGTCCAGCAGGGTTGCTTTGGATGGCATGACTGGCAAGCAATCCGTCAAGGAAAAGTGATCCATCCATTCGCTTTTGGACATGAATAAGCAGCGAACTACTCGCACAAGCGCTGGGTCCTCCTCTTCCAAGTTCACTTGACTGTAGACAAACAAGCTTCACGTTGCGCCCTTGACTTTGATAACAAGCCCCGGAAATTCAGCTTTGCGACGCGAGTGACGAAAGAGATTGCGGAAAATAGGTGCTGCCAGTCAAGAACAAGGCTCCATGGGACGTGACCGAGGCGACTATCGTGAACCTCCAGGAATCCGGCGTCAGCACTTTTCGTGCACATCGGTGGGTATCTGCTGCGACCGAAGTTTTGATTTTGATGTGGACTATTTCAGTCAAAATCATATCTCTGAGATGTCAGCATCGCAACGGTTGGGGGATACAGCCATGGACGACCACGAAGTCCTTGCCAGACGGCGACCACTGCACGTCGTGGATCGGCCCTTCTTTACCTGCACAATACAGAAGATCGGGTTAAGCCATGTTGGAAGTGCGCTCTTTGTTACCAGTTTGTTCCGCTTTGACGGAAAAGAGTGCGGCTAGCCTCTTCGTAACAGACGCTCGATGCCAATACCTAACCCGAAGTCAACGCCGATCGTGGAAGCCTGTAAGAGGTCCTGTGCTAGCCTAGGCGGCTTCACCACACTCGCCACAGCCCTTATATTATCAAGTAGCACATCAACTCAGCGAAACCTAGTCGGTACCAACTTACGATTGCCAACCCGCAAGACGAGCTACGAGTCAAGACGGGTGCCGAAAGAGAGATGAATGCTAGAAGAATATAGCAGAGTCTAGACATCGACTCATCAGGAACCGCCGGCTTACTGAGAGGAACGGTGCACTCGTTGCTCCCGTCGCACGCGAGATAATGCAGCGCGGTGTCCCCGTAGTAGCTCTGGTTCGTCTTGTCCACGTCGGACGCGGCCAGCACCAGCACCGCCGTGGTGCCGCGGTTGAAGAAGAACTTGACGGTCGACGACTTGAAGAAGCTGCGCCGCGCGACGGGCTGGCCCGATGCCATGTTGGCCCGCTCGTAAATGCGCACGCTCGCTGGAGCGCCCTGTGTGAAGACAAGGATGGGACGTTCCTGTCCTGTGCAGATTCGAGTACTTCGGCAGAAGACGCAAAGGGCGTGCATTAACTAGCTTGAGCTTTCTATCATTAAGGTGAGTGGTTGCAGAGATTTGGGGTCGGTGACTAGCCAGGATTCACCAGCTTTTACGATCTGCAGTTTCCTTTCGCCTGACAAGCAGTTCAAGGTGACGCACAGCACCTGGTTTCAAACATATTAAGACAATCTGGCTTGTCGAGAGACGCCTAGAGGAGGCACTAAATCAGATCGCTGTGACGTACATCAGAGGTAGTAAAACCAGATTGGAGGTAGTGGATGTCGAACCTTGAGCTCAGGGACATAGCAGGCGATGTGGGAGGGCGGGTCGAAGCCTAGCTGCATAGCGGCCACCCCCGGCACCCGCAGCTTGTCCACTATGCCGCGAGAAAAGTCCTGAGGGTCGTACAAGTGGACCTCGTTCGTCACACACCGGCCAGCCACTGTTTCGTCATCGCTGAACTGGATTGAGGGCCTGCAGGACCGAAAAAAGAGATTTATGGAGTCCCTGCTTGTCCCTGCTTTGAGGGGGGGACTGCATGGGGTGGATACCAGTAGATCGTTTCCAGAGAAAACATCACCCAGGATGCCATCAGAGCTTTTTGTGTGATGCACGTAATTCACATAATTCATGTTTAGAGTATCTTAGTGGGAAAAGTGCCTGACTTTTGGGTCTGTTCTTTGCCAGGACATTGGCAGCGTTGCATCTCTGGGGGGCTGAACGGCGTTGTGCTTTGAATAACTCAAACTTGCGACACAAGACCGAAACATGAACGGCCTCTCACACACCAGAACAGGATGCACCACCCTTGCATCGTAACCAGATCAGCTTTCCTTACGGACCTCTCAAACACCCGTCATACTACTCTGTCGCCTCTGTAAACCAGTACCTATGGCTCTGCATGAACCAGCTTCTCGTCGACACACCTCTTGCAGTGAAGTGCGCAGCAAAGCTTACTCTCGGCACATCTGAAGTCATTCACCACAATTGAGCATGATCACTTTCAAGCAGGAATTCATATCTCACCAGCTCAGCTTGGAGAAGGTCTTCTGGGACTGCTGAAAAGCGGCCTCGCCCGTTGCCAGGCTCCAGAGAACAAGGTTCTTCTCACCCGGAGCGCCCGCTTTCTGGAATGTTTGCAGGAACGTGTTCTTGGGGGAGAATGCGATCCCCATCACATTGCTCGCCGGAATAGTGCGTAGTTCCTTGGAGGACGCCACGTCAATGATGCTGACGCCAGAGCCGGAGGGCTTGACAATGGCAAGAAGCTTTCCATCCGCACTAAACTGCGTCTGCAGGCCCTGAGTCCTGCGAAAGCGAGACCATGTGTTGGGATTGCATGATAAGAGCAACATCAGAAAGATGACGCCAACAGGGCAGCTTGCCAGGCATAGGCACATTGATCTACCAATGCTGTTGATTGAGGATGATTTTTGGACGACTGATGCTCTCTTGCGAGAAGATACTGAACATTTTTAGAACTTGCGGGCGTCGTTCTGGTGATCGAGATGTCTACCACCATTCAATCGCCCATAGTTTGGAGAATTGCTTTTGGTTGTTGACCTTGATAGGTGCTGACAGAAGTATACTGTGAACTGGAAGTTGCTGGCATTTGCGGCCAACTTGCTGGATAGTTGCCATGTCTTTCTCCTTCAATAGATTACTAGGACTGACACCATGCTTCTGTTTACAGTGGAAACCAACCGAGCCTCTCCATTCTCACCACCCTGGCAGCACTTGGACAGAACACAGTGCTTTGCTTGCACAAGCGCGGGACCTTCGAGTGGGATCGATAGTTGCAAGAAGTTGGTCAGCACATTCACCTGGTAAAAGTGTCAACAGGTTTGACCTCCTCCGGTGGCGCCTTGAGTAGAGCAATGCCGTCTTTTGCCCGCACTGCAAGCACAAAACCTCCAAAGTCAGCATTGCAAGGTCTCAACACTACGTCGCCTGATCACACGGATGCTTCTAAGAATCAAAAAGCAAGTCCTGGAACCTGAAAGGCATACAGAATGCGCATGGCAGATTCAAAGCGCCCGTTCCAGGTTTCCGCAAAATAGGAGTTCAAAGGTGACTACGGATGCTCGAAACAGGTATAAGCCGACTGACCTAGGATCCTCTGCACAGTGTCGCCCATTGCTGCTCCTTGAAGACGACCCAACTCGAGAGCAAGCGAGATCTTTGCAAGTGTGGCGGCTTTCCCTGCGCCTTGAACTGAAGGGGTGTCTCCGTGAATGCCAGCTCTTAGGGTTTTGGAACGCCCACATCGACAAAATAGAACCTCCATATAGGGTTTTCAGGCGGCTTTTTTTTCCAGGCAGGCTCACGTCTTCGCTCATGAATGAATTTGCAGGACAGCCCAGAAAGCCAAGAGGGCGCTTTGACAGGCGCTTGTAACATGCGCCTGTTGGGAGGGCAAGCAGGATGGGCCCTCCAATGGCGGACTTTGGGGACACCCTTCCTGCTTCTGCAGAGGAGAGCTTTCGGCGCGTCCCATTGTGCCGTGTCCAGAATCAGAAGCTGTGCCTGGCGGTGGACTTGAAAGCGCAAACTCTTGAAGGGTGAGCGTGCTGCCTGGCCAGCAGTGCACCCCTTGCCTTTGATTGCCGCGATGATCATGCACCTTGAGCTGCCACTCTCGAGAACACAATTTCATTGCTATGCCATGCATGGTGTATGCTTCAAAATCAAGCGGCTCACAATGACTTTGAATGGCACCCAGGATTTTCACATATTGGGTTTCTCTTCAAAGTCTGGCCAAAGACATTGGACCTGCATCAACTCTCTGATGGCGCTTTCAATGCTGCTGATCGGTGGCGCTCGTATTCTGGGTCCCAGCTGGTCCCACCTTTGTGTTGTGACTTCATTGTCAAGCAGCTGCGTAGGTATCATGCTGCTTGACTAGGTTAGGAATCCTGCAGTGTCTTCAAGGACTATTAAAGTACATCATTGCACGCTTTGGAGGTTTCCAACCACTGTGAACGACACGTCATCCCCAATCGACTGCTCCTCCTTCAATTCTCATTGAAAATTCCCGTCCGCATTCAAATATCCTGGTTGCCTTTTCATTCTCAATTGGTTAAAGTGGACGCGATCGTAGACTGCCGGGTTTCTGATTCCGTACCAATCAACTTACCCCTTCTCCTCAGGTACACTGAGCTCGACGTCTTCTCCCCCCCTGCGGACGCCCCTCGCATCCTGGGCCTCCATGCCAACGGCCTCCAAATCTCCAGGATCTTCGTGGAAGGCGCCCCCGCGAAGTTTCAGCAACTCGCTCCCCCCGCTGGCCAGACTCGGGTGCGGTCTCTGCAGCAGGTGTATGCAGCAACCAAAGAGGATAATCCAAACAACGCAGGCGAGAAGGTTTACAGGGACTATGTCCGGTTGTTGCAAGAGGAATCTGAGCCTGAGCTGCTCATTCACCTCCCAGAGGTGTTGCAAGAAGCGGGGGCAAGCCATGAGCCAATCGTGGGGGTTACGTCTGACGGTTTTGGTGCAAATGGGGCGCAAGTGGAAGCCACTGGGGGGCCTGGAAGGGAGGGGCACCCGAATGGGGGGGTGGAAAACGGGGCGGACTTGAAGGGGGTGGAAAACGGGGCAGTGGGAATTGGACAGACTGGGGAAACGAAGGAGAAGGGGCATGAAAGAGAAGCAGGGACAGCTGAGAATGGATTGGCGCTTGTTGAAGGTTCAGGTGGGCGGAGGACTGAGCCAGTGGAAGTGGAGAAGGGAGACGAGGGGAAAGAGGAGCCTAGCGGAAAAGAGACTGGGACACCGGAGAAAGGGACGCCGGAGAAAGGGACACCGGAGAAAGGAGAGCCCTCTGGGGGGAGAAACAGGAGTGACGAGAAGGAGAAGAAAGGGAGTGCCAGGAAGGGGAGCGCCAAAGATGGGAAGGAGATCGAGGCCAAAGATGAGACGAGCACAACGGTAGGGACATGTATCTGGAAGCAGTGACGGAATCTGTACGGCTTCTGTTTGTGGTTTTGACTCGTCAGTGGTGGGGTATTTCGAACTCTCGGGTAGGGCCTCGTATAAACCTTCACATTCTCCATGGAATGAAAGCCCTGAGGCGCTTCTCTTGTCACACTCTGACGTCAGCTTGGCGAAATCTGGTTCCCGAAGTCGAGATGCTATGGTACCAGGGCTATTGAAGCACCGCGAATTAGAGCTGACAATGACAGACGCTCTCTTCTAAGAGAACATCCTCAAGTCCGACCATGCGGGGTGTCAGGACTCCCTTTCCCAATGTTTAGCGTCTCTCGAGGGCCAGTGGAACCCATTAGGGCGAAAGTCCGTTTCTTCAATTTGACGCCTATGCCCTCTTCTGGTGAACGCTAAGTAAGGCCTTTCCTGCAGCTGCTTCGAGTGCGCATCGGGTTCCGGGTGAAGCATGCGCGTGCTGGAGTGAACTTCCAGGGTGACGTCATGCATACAAACAACCAGCTCCGGAGGGCGCGGTGCTGGTTCCCCTGTGCGGACACTTCCGAACATCCCCACAGGTGCGGCTTTTGCCTGTGATCAGTGTCCCAAGGCCGGCTGAACTTGTCTTGGGAGTCGTTCCTTGAGCGTTGGTCTGTGCTAAGCTACGCCGAATTGAGGACATGAAGAAGCCAAGAAAATGTAAGGGGCTAGCAACCTATGGTTGATTTGAAGTGTCAGGTTATCGCAAAGTCCCTTTGGCCGGATTGATGCTTAGCAAGCCGTTGCCCAAAGTTGTCCAGAATCTGGAAGCCCATGTTACATTCCTGGCCTATTCTAGTTGGCCGGTACAGGGGAGATGATCCTGAACGCACGCTTGCCGGTCCCAGCCCCGAAGCATATGCTTGATAGCCAAGTTCAACGGGCCGATGAGAATTGGGCCTTTCCATACGACTGTTTTTTATCACGGCGTCCAATTGTGCAGCTTCGACCTGGAATACACTGTGGACGCGCAACTGATGGCGATCAGCAGCGGGGAGCTCTTGTATCAGGTAAGACTCACTGTCCCCGTCCCTTTTGCCAAGTACACGAGTTTCAATGATACATCAGATGCTGCAACTCAAGTAACTCGCTTTTTGACGTTGTCACTGATCGACTTCAACAAGAAAGCCTCACAAAGTTTGCTGAGGTACACGATATTGGAATACATACTCAGGGTCGTACCCCATCGTGTCCACACGCCCGTTCAGTCGTATCTTCAAGCATATCATGCTGTAGCCCCATCCATACATCAAGCGCCTACGATCATCTCGTTTCAACGGCGTTCCGCCCATTGCGACCGACCGCCCAACAGGGATGGCGCTTGAGCGTGTCCTCGAACACGCTTGCACATCAAAGTAGGAAGTATGTCATTAACAGTCTCGTGCCAATCATACTGGGTCCCAACTTCAGGATAATCCACCACTTCTCTTTTCGCAAATTGCGGAGGTTGGCATTTTTGACTGTAGCTTTCAAGCGACGCTACTCTTTCCTGCTCTCTTCTTCGGAAGGGCTTGAATGCACCTAGAAGCCGCCCTTGCACTGCTTGTTTGGTCGCCAGAAAGGAGGGAGGAGAGCGCTAGAGCGCACCACCGTTTCCGGAATCCTGGCGGACGCCTTGACCAAACCCAAAAAGTGCACAAGAAGATCTTCTCTCAGACCGTCTGATCGGCGTTCGACGGCCTCGATCTTCCTTTTCACAAAGTAAAAATTAGCAAACAAAGTAGCATACGGTATAATTAGCACGAGAGTTCTCGTCTCAGGCGTTCACGAGCGCGGCGGAGCAGCGCAAGGTGTGGGCGTACCGGGTAGCTGCCCCGACCACCCCGGGCCTGATCTCGCTGGCGGTGGGCCCCTTCGTGGTGCTCCCGGACGTTCAGGCCCCGGCCATCACGCACGTCTGCATGCCGGGGCACCTCAAGAAGCTGCGCCAAACCGTGCACTTTCTGCACACCGCTTTCAGGTTCGCTGTTGGAGACTCTTTGAGCTTGTCGGTTTGGACATGAAGCGTCTGGTCTGAGCGGAGCACACACAGTCCAGACTACTGAGAACTGCCAGCCTGGGATGCATGGAGGTGTCCGAACTAGCGACTTGTGACATTTTGAACTCCCTTCGGGCTGTTTCAACATTGGAAAGAGCGGAGTAACTTTTTCAACCGAAAACCACGTTTCTGTCTGTTCATTACGTTCAGTTCCGAAAAGCTCGTTTCTGTCTGTCGGTCACTTTCAGTATTGGCGAGGATCTAGGAGTGTCGGCCGCTGGTTCCAATCCTGGAAGGCCGATGTCTGTCGCCCACGTTCAACCCCTTTTGGACACTGACTTCTTGCGAGGACTGACGTTCTTCCTCAATGCTTTCTTATGGACCCTCAAACTAAGTTTGCTGCCCAGTCATTTTCTGAAACGACTGCTGTTCCGCCTGTCGTGCAGCACGTACGAGGAGTACCTGGACCTGCCGTTCCCCTTCAGTTCGTACGTGCAAGTGTTTCTGGACTCAGAAGCGGCGTACGAAACCGCCACCATGGGCCTCTCCACGGCCCTGCTCAGCGCACACCTCCTGGTGGACGACCGCATTATTGATCAGGTCGGAGCGTCACTTTGTTCATTCCCACCCTAGTTGCAGGGCTGCAGAGGACCGGTTTGAAAGTACACAAGCGAGAGTTTTGAATGCTGGCGCGAATTGAAAGGGGTGGGCTACTGTTATGGTGATCGAAGCGAGCGTTGGTTGAGCCACCCCCAATCGGGCCGTCTGGGTTTCCTCAGGATGTTTCTAAACTCGATGCATGTTTTCATCAGATCCATGGTTCGGAGTCAAACCGTGGAATCCTCTCAATTTCTGAATCTTAGAGGGAGCAGGGTCGACGGTTAGGTTTTGAGCGTTACGTAGTGAGCAGTGTTTGAGTCGACTCTCGTCGTCAAAAAGCAGCGGCCATGCCTGAAGCCCATCCTTGAGACATGAGCTCTATGCCTTAAATCTTTTGCAGACGTCAGCGACCCGCATCAAGCTGGCCTCCCTCCTGGCCCGCCAATGGTTCGGCGCCTTCATCACAGCCGACTCGTCAGCGGACGGTAGGACCGGCCGCCGTAAATCCTTTCAGAATAGTTTGGACGGCTCTAGAGCTGGCGCGAAAGGAATCTGCTTGACTTGGATCAATCTCATACTGTACTGGGGTCATTATCTGCTGTTGCTTGGTCATCCAATCTTGACGCGTCTGCGTGGCGCTGCTCCCAGTGTGGCTGATCGACGGCCTGGCGGCCCTCCTGACGGACGTCTTTGTGCGGCGCCACCTGGGCAACAACGAGCTCCGCTACCGCCGCTACAAGGTGCGCGAGCGCTGACAGTTGAATACCTCTAATCGTACTGGTGCGTATAGGTTCCTCAACCTGAATTCGCGTTAGCCTTTCTGCTACCAGCTAGGACCTGGACTGGGAGAGCAAAGAGCGCTTGCGTACTCGTGATTTTGCTACTTGCAGGAGTATGAGGCGGTGTGCCTCGCTGACGTTGACGGCGCTGCTCCGCTGAGCATTCCAGATTTGGACGAATCCGAGAAGGCAGCCGGCCCGGCCGTCCAACTGGAGGAGCTCGAGAGGAGCAGCGTTCGGACTTGGAAGGCGGTAAGTAAAGCTTTGTGGTTTCTGGGGATCGTCCGCCCGGTGGCTGTCAAGATTGTGAGAGGCAGTAGTGCAGAATGGATGATTCGGTTTTGGTAACTCAGAAAACCATCTTAGTTTGCATGCTTGCGTCCGAAACAAACATCCTTCCGAATAGGAGATTGTCGAGGTTTGTTTGAAAGGCTGTTGGTTTTGTGGGCCTTCATTTCTGCTACAAAGGGTAGAGCGTAGCCAATGGGAGTCAGATGAATGCAAAGGCCCGCGGTTGCGGTCAGTGCTTTTGCTGAGCGCAGCATGACGTCTGCCGTGCAGAAGGCCGTGCTGGCAATGCTGGAAAAGCAGGTCGGGCCGGACGGCTTCAAAAAGGTGAGCGCGTCCGCTGCGGAACAAATCAATCAATCTTTTCCTGCATCGTCACGCCGCCAGGTTGCGAAGTGACTTCTGTCCGAGACGCTCTTCGAGTTGATGTTGTTCTCCCTTGTGAGAAGATTGACTCGCTCTTTCACTCTGGTTGACGATGCACCGTTCTTTTTCTCTAGCGCACTATGCTGAGCGCAGCTCCAAAAGCACACGGCCTGAGTCGGCTGCTGTGCACTTCCAAAAGATGGAGATAGACCTTGGTCTCCACAATCAAGATGCATGTTAAAGGCTTTGTTATTGAGAACTTTCGTACTTCCTTCGGCAGTGCATCCAGGAGCTGGTGACCCAGGCCAGGGACGGGCGCCGGCCAGGGCGAGCTGTCACCACTCGAGACGTGAGCACCTAGTGCAGAGCCAGGCTGTGAAAATCCACTCACGCCAACAGTACGAGTCGTTAGCGGTCTCCTTCGTGCCACAGCTTTTCCTTTGTTCTCGTGTCGCCATGGATTCCCCCAGACAGTCGGAGAGTCCACGGGGGCTGCAAGTTGAAAAGGAAAGATGCTCCAGGGGTTTGTAAAGTGACAATTGGCAGCCGGACGACTGGATATATGCTTCCTTCCGCATCTGGCCGTTTCGGCTCATTTCTTGGTTTGAAACTGCCCGAGCCTTTTGCCTTCTGTTCACGTGTTTTCAACAGCTGCCCTGCTCCCTTCTTTCGCAGTTCCAGGCCATTTTGCGGAAGGTCGGCGGCCAGGACAAGCGCGCGCTCAAAGAGTTCTTTGCGCGATGGGTCAAGTCTCCCGGCTGTCCACGCATCAGGTATCGCCGCGCTTCTACTTGCAGGTCAACTCCGGTGAACAATCTTACAAGCAACTTGCTCTTCTTCTACCTCCTAGTGCTTCTATGCGGTGACGCGCGCCAAGCTGAAAACCTTGGTGCGTCGAGAAGTGCTTACGTTCGAACCTTCCTATGTTCTCAGAATCCATTTGGCCACCAAAAGTGCTCCTACTAGTGCTCTTCAGATGCTAAACGCACCTTCCCGTTGGCTGCTTCAACGCTTGTCTCTCCTTTGCAGTGTCGCCTTCAATTACATCCGGCGACGCAACTTGCTGGAGGTGGCTCTCGTGCGGACTGCCACCGCTTCCGCCGATCCCGCCGTACTGGCTGCATCCAGTGGCGCAAAGTCCAGCGACTTGAGCGACATCAACCCCGAAAGCGGCTGGCCAGGGTCGCTGCCCATCCGCGTGCAGGTGTGGTGTCTCACACAGATGCCAAATTGTCAACGGACACCCGTTTTGTAAGGCCGTAGGGATCTTCTTCGGATGTCTCCTTACTTCGCTTGGGATCTTGTTGTCTTTCTTCAGGGCGCTGTTGGTTGGCAGCATACTCTGCCTGCGACGTTTGAGAAGTGAAGCAAAGGACGTTGAAATGCTCACTGCGCTTGGTCATTCTCACCCCCATAAGTTTCTGCAGTTTCGTAAAGCGTTGCTTGATTGCGGCATCTCTAAGCATAGTACGTGCGGGCATGTAGTTGTAACCGCAGGGTGGTCCCGTTGGATTTTACAAGCGTCTCAGTATCCGACACTGTCAAAGGTACACGGTTGGTGCAAACCAACCAAAGCAATCTCTCACAACCGAGCCGTCGCTTATGCCCGATGTTCTTCAGGAGCTGGACGGCAGCTTCGACCACCTGGTGGCGCTGTCGGGCGACCCATTTGACAAGGCGGAGCTGCAGTGCCACTCCAAGCTGACGGCCGCCAAGAAGCTCATCGCCAAGGAGGGCAAACCCACCAAGCGCAAAGGGAAGTACGGTCAGAAGAAGAAGGGGGCGCCCGCAGAAATTGAGGAAGACGGAGAGCTCGGGGGGCCGCTCAAGGTGCTGGCTGGTGCGGCTAACGGGGCGCGGGAACACAAGTGAGGAGATTGTTGGATTTGGAATCGTTTTGAGGGTCCTAATCTTGACTGAAGGAAACGCTTCAATCCACTTGTTTACATTCGGCTTTATTGTGCAGAATCAATCGAGCTGTATGCAACCAGCTGAGCTGTATCTGCGGTGTATGCGACACTCGTTGTAGAAGCGTGGGGAAACACTCCAAGCTTCCGCTTCGTTTTAGAGACTTGAGGAACATCAGGTCTATCTGGTGCCAAAATGTATCTTCCATTTACACCGCTTTCTCGATATACCGCTCCTTCAGCCTTTCAATGTTTCGTATTTCAGGTCAGCCTTTGTAACCCCTTGGTGTTTTGCTTGTGCGCAGCGTGGACTCTGCGGTGGTGTGGGTGCGCGTCAACCCGGACCTGGACGTTCTTGCCGAGCTGCACGTTCATCAGACGGAGCATATGTGGGTGAGTACTGGAGTCGTCCGCCTTGATTCTACACGCAGTTTTCGAAAAACTTCAACAATACTTCAGGTTTAGATGCAAAAACAGGGAGACCGATCTGGGTCAGGCAGACCTTGTCAGACAGGTGGAGCGCCAGCTGTCACGGCCGAGCGAAATTGGGCGTGGGTCCATGCCGGATACAGAGCCAAGAGCATCTTTAATCCAATTTATTGTTTCTCGCTTATGAAAAGAACGGTAGCAGCAGGTCAAAAAGGAGGGTTGGGAGGAAGGTCGACCAGGAAGCAAACTCTGGAGCCCAGAGTCACACATGATTGAGAACCTGCCTCGCAGATTGCCCAGCTGGAGAAGGACCGAGACGTGGTGGCTCAGGTGGAGGCGATCACGGCGCTCGGGGCTCTGCCCCGGCCGACCTTCGCAGCCATGAATGCGCTCAACAATTGCTTGGCAGACGGCCGGGTGAGTTCCGGGATAAAACGACCTGCCATCTAAACCTGCGGATTAGTAAGGCCTTGCATCGATGATTGATACAGTTGTGAACGTTTACTGCCCATGAACGCCTGTAGAAAACGCCTTGTGACGGAGCTCGGTCTTTGTGTGTGCTTCTGACACCGAACCAAGGACCCTAACGGATACGTCATTTGGTAGTCGATACGCAGTCCCTCTGAAAACCGTAAGACTACGATGTGAGAAGTGCTTACTTCGAGTGTCAATACGGATTCTTCTCTCTGCTGCTTTGCAGGTGTACTGCCACGTGAGAGCGGAGGCGGCCAGAGCCCTCGGTCGAACGGCCAAGGAGGCAAGTGAAGCACAGCTTGCTTAGAGGGTTACTCTGAAAGTATGCTGGACAGGCCGCAGGTTGCAAAACGTATGCGTGCTTGTCAACGCTGTCAGGAAGTCCACTGCTAGGTGACCCCGTTCAGTAGCAACCCAATCTGCTCAGGAGCGGGCCACACCTGGACTTCGAACCGCCTCGTACGGTAGACGAGAAACGATTGGACGGGAAGCCCCTCCTTGTCGTGTTGGCTCATAGTCGCCACTCGGTTGAACGCCTCCTTCTTCTGCTCAGTGAGTTACCGCACTCGAGTTGGACGCGTTTGGCAAGCGTATACTCTTGCTGAGCGTCACAATGCTTCGCGCAGAGCACCAACTGGGCGGGGCTGGACATGCTGCTCAAGTTTTACCGCAGCCGGCGGTACGACCCGGACGTCGAGCAGCCAAAGTACGCGGCACGCAGACGCGATCCCTCCCACTTGCTGTGCATCTGCCCCGATACGTCATTGCACCGACGACTTTCATCAGATAATGAGTGGTTGTTGTTGCTGAGCTTGGCTCACCTCAGTTAAGAGACTGTTGAATGTCCGAGGCTATCTGCAAATGTCCTCTCCCTCCCAGGTTTTATTCGGTAACAGATTCATCGATGTTCTGGCTCCAGGCCAAACGACTTTTCCGACTTCCGGGACTACTTCGTGGATCAGGCCATCCCTGGGGCCGTGGCTTCCGTGCGCGGGAGTGACGGCTTCTCGCCGCTCGAGGCGGTCGAGTTCTTGCTAGAAGTGCTCAAGGTGGGCGGCCAAAAGACTGATAACATTTGACGAGAAGTGTGATCGAACTCTAAGCCAAGGCTCGAAGAACGTGAGGTATGAAATGCGCAAAGAACTTACGGAACCGCTCGTCTCTTAGATCGGGGTTATTGCATTTCGGAGAGGTCAAAAGCGATATAGCTGATAAGGGAAAGGATTGGTGGGAGCTGCTATAGTCTACTTGAGCAGCTCGTAACGGACTTCTGAGTTGCCAAGCCTGCAGCATCTTGTGATATGTCGCACAAAGAGACCCGGGAAAGAGACCCGGGAAAGAGACCCGGTGCTCATGTGGCAACAAAATGAGTGACACCGCAGAGGTTCTTTTGGTCCCGCGGCCACGATTTCTGGGCTACATGTCTGAGTGAGCTTGAGGAGCATCTATACCTGCTTTTCATCTGCAGTACAACGACAATAGTGCCAACGCTTTCTCCGACGGCAACTGGTTGGCGGTTGTCATTGAGGCCGTTGGCGCGGCCAAGTACAGTCCGCAGGTGCGCGCAGGCAACCGGGCTGTCTCAGACTTCTCCTCTGGCGATTGAGCGAGACTTTGTCCGGACTGTCTCTCTGTGACCGCAGACGTTGGGCGTAGCGAAAGACGTTTTGGGTGGCTCCTTTATCTGCAGGCATCATTGCATCGCAATGGTCGTATGCAAGACCGACACAACGAGTTGCTCTGATGGGCTTCAGCCCAGGGATCATTGTCTTCGAGTGCGTTCCACTGCTGACGTCACTCTTTGGCCCTTCGTACATAGAGTTAGCAGTAAAGACTGGCCCCAGTGTGCCCTGTGAGATCCGAGTAAAGGTCTTAGAGGCGTTGTGAAGGCTCCTGACTTTCCTCGTTACTGTGCAGACGCGCACGCAGCACTTGCCCAAACTCCTGAAACAGCTCGACAAACACCTCCAGTACGACCGGTGAGCTTCACTTGACACGATCTCTGAAGGAGTGGTTAGTCTCCACATCAGGGGTTTGGTGCCCTGTTTCTGAGAGGTCGAACCGTCCTCTCTGATACTGGATGTTCGCATACGATTATGCTTAACAAGGTGCGCGGGTCCCCAATTTGAGAAAGTGAGGCTACCTACTTGGACACTGTGGAGACCGCAATTATGGAAAGAAGTCTGAAAGGGTGCTTACACCAGTGTAGAGAAACGTAGGTTGACACCCGGGCTATGATACCCTCTCACCAGCGAGTCCGTTCGCTACGTCGGACTGTCAGACCAAGTGCTCACATCTGTGCAATGTTTTTCAGGTTGCTCCCCAGCCACGGCCACGTGGTGACTATTAGCTGTCTCCGCACGCTCGCCAGGCTGGCGTGCCAAATGCCGCGGGACGAAACCCTAGTGAGTCACCGGGCCTGAACTTCCCGCTGCTTCGTGACGTAGCTCTGAAATCCCGTCTCTTCGTCGTCTCAAGCAGTAGTGTTGTCCCACCCCTGTCCGTATCCTTCTGTGCCGTTTGCCCTCATCGCTTAGAAGCAATGTTTTGACAACCCTCCCCTTCCGGCGCTTCCTTCGAAGCCCAAGCCGAAAGTGAGCTCCACTTTGGTGACTTCTCATGCATCGTGTTGTTGCTTCCCAATCACAGACAGACTCGTTTCCGTTCTGCAGAAGGAGCGCCTTCAGGTGTTGTTGCTGCAGCACACGTCGGCCCGCCACGTGTACAAGGTCCGCGTGGCCGCGTTCCGCTCGCTCATGGACCTGGAGCACCGCTGGGACGGGCCTACCGCAGCCCTCCACGTGGCACTCAAGGTGGCCGACAACCGCGAGCCAGCCAAAGGTGAGAACACCCCTGCAAGGCGTGGGGATTGATCCGAGGGAGGGACAAAAGCACTGCTACAACTGAGATTACTTGAAGAGGCTTTTGTAACTATCAAAGTTGGGCTCGAGAGCTTCTTGTTATGTTCCCAGCTCGAGAGCGTTTGACAGGGTACAGTTTGTGAGGTCCAAAGAGCAAGTGCCCTCTCACAAAGCGGATCCCTTTCATTGTCTGTGAACCTTCTACAGAGGACTCAGCCCAATCCGCGACTTCCAAGATTTTGGCGCGGACTGATCGGGGCTTCGGAGCTCCTTTTTGCGCAGTCGTGACGAAGCTGCTGACGTACGCCAGCCGGCTGTGGGCCTCGCATAAGGGGGTGGCTACCCCTGAGGGCGGCGCGGTGGCGGGGGGTGGCCGGTTGCAAGGCCTGGTGACCAGCAGGCGGGGCTGGCGGGACGTGCGCCTCCGACACGTGGCCTTCATGCTGGACCAACAGATGCACGGCAGGTCAGCAGCCACCGCCAACGTTAAGTCTCCCACGTGTCCTTGATCCGTATTCCGAGTGTCTGAGTGCGTACAACGTCCTTAAGGAAGTTACTTTGAGAAATTCAGAGATGCTGTGTAAATTAAGCATTGACAAGTAAGTTGCATCACGGGCTTGAGTTAAGGAGTCAGCCTACATATGCAGCTCGCCCTGCTTTTCAAAGAAGGCACCCTTCTCTGTCGTCTCTTTCATTGCAGCCACCGTGTCTCGTCAACTTTGTACTTCTGCCCACAATTGCAGTCCTTCTCCAAGCCTAAAACCCTAAAACCCTAAAATCCTAAAAGCCCAAAGTCTGAGCATCTCACGGACAACTTTCAGCGACCGACCTCCTCATGCCCTGGGCGTGCATCAGACGGTTCCATTTCTTCCCCTTTCCCTGATCGGCCCCCTGAATCTCCCGCTAACCTTCCCCCTTTTCCCCCCCCTCTCCGGCAGGCCCGCCACCCTGTTCCGCATGTACACCACGCACGGCATCGACCTCCCACAACCAGAAGCCCCCCCCTCAGAAGCTCAGGCGGCGGCCCCCCCTTCCGGGAAAGAGGAGGGCCACGTGCCCCTGCTTGTTCGGATTCGGCGGGCCGGCTCCGAGAGCGTGGCAGAGCCCACCAAGACGGACGGAACCAAAATTTTCGTGCGGCTCCCCAGGCCGGGGGGCATGGCCGCCCCTTCCGCCACACAAGGTGAGGATGGGGAGGATCCACGCCTCCTTTCGGCTGTGTGCTTCTATATCCATTGTCTCAAAGCGCCATTTCTCGCTAGGGAATCTTCCTTGAATGGGGTTACGCGATCATGTTGATGTCTGCGCCAAAAACATGGATCGACTCGTACTTTATCTTCAAGTTGCACACGTGCCGCGCCGCTGAGATTGAGAATTTTGTCTGCCAAGACTTCGTCTTCTTTGGGTTCTTTCGTATGCAACCGCTGGCTCAAACGACAGGTCCTAGCCGTCCTGAAAGCCTTTCCGGATCCCCGACGCCCCGCAAAGCACGGTCTTGGAATGAAGTGGCACTTAGCGCTAATTCGCTATTTGATCATTGATGTCCGCAGACAGCCTGAAGGTCCGTCTGAAGCTGTCCCACGGCCCGCTGCGCTCCTCCCAGCTGGGTCCTGACGCGTCCGAGGGCGCCGGGACGTCCGTCCGGCAGGCCGTCGAGCGTCCGGAGGTGAGCGAGTCCGCAGCGGTGTCCGGAAAAGCGATGCCCAGAAAGAAGAGCGTGTCCGAGAGAAGCGCCCAGGTAAGGAGCGGACCGGGGGCCTTCGCAAGCGAACGACGGGGCTATTGAAAACTTTGGATTGTCGGCTCGGGCCTTGGTTGATCGGCGACACGACTAGAGGCTTAAGGATCCAGAGCAGCTCTGTGGACGATCTGTGGCATAGCATGGCCGTGCCATTTCAGTGTTGCGTGAAGGAAAGCGCTGTACTGGTTGGTCCCCCAAAGACGGAGCTTTCTAGTCGCCTACGTCGTGCCTGCAGGAAGCAATCCAAAACAGCGCCGTGTGAAGTCCAACTCAGCTGACGGTGGCAAGGGTTTGGCAGCTTTTTCCGGTGCACAATCTAGACAGCTGTCTACATGACATCGTTGAGACGGCTTGGCCCTGCGTCTTTGGCCTGCGTTTGTTCATCACGATCTAGCAAAGCATTATAGAGTATTCAGCGAGTTGAGTCCTGAATCGTGAAACTTGGGTTCTGCAGGCAACGGAGAGAAGCAGCCAACCCGAGGCCGGCCCCGGTCACATGGACGAGGCACACCAAGAGGCGTCCACGCCCCTGCGAAGCGCCTCGGTGGAAGGAGAACCGGGCGAAGGGGGCCCGCCCCGGCCCCACATCGAATTACCGCGGCCGGGCGCCCGCAAGTTCCGCTCCGCGACAGCGCGAGTCCCACGCACGCTGTCTCTGGTGCCGATTGCGAACTTGGTGGAAACGGAGGCGGGGGGGCCGAGCGAAGGGGAAGGGGCACCCCCTGACACGGAGGACGGCAGCATGGAAGTTCTAGAGGTACCCGCTATGGCAGTGCAGAGTGAGGGGAAGCTTAGAGAGTTGTCTTCGGAGGGGGTGCCGGGGGATGCGGCGTTGGCGGAACTGGCGGCAAAGGAGGCGGCAATGCGCGAGCGGATGGCGCAGATCGAAGCAATGCTGGCGGCGGAAAATGGAAACGACAGCAGGGGGGTTGCCGAGGTTGGAGAGGAGCGGAACGAGCCGAAGGAAGAAGGAGAGATAGAGGAGGAAGAAGGGGAGATTCGGGCCGCGAAAGGAAGCGGGGACGGAGAGAAAGTTCTTCAGAAGAAGAGCGAAGGGGAGGGGGTGCCGGCCAAACGGGAAGGGGAACAAAAAAGGACAGAGGCACAGGGCGAGCGTGGAGCGAGGGTGCATAAAGGGGACGAGAAGGAGAGGTTGAAGAAGCAGAAGAAGGGAAAAGGCAAGAAGAAGGGTGACAAGAAGAGGGGCGAAGGAGTCGAAAACAAGGGGCTGAAGCAGGGTGAGGGAGGCACGGTACCTGAAACGAAAGCAGAAGGCCGGGTGGAGACTGTGGTTCTGGAACCGTCCGAGGAAGGCGAGATCAAGTCGCCGAAGGGCTTAGGAGACGAGGTTGCAGCGCAGAAGCGCAGCAAGGACGCGCCGGGGCGGGTGTTGACAATCGCGGACGAAGAAGAGGAAGGAGAGGTCAGGGTTGAAGGGGAAAGTCGATTGCCCGTTCGCAAAGATGTCGAAAGGTCGTTCAAGGGGCCAAGATTGAAAGAAAAGAAGGGGGCGCCCGTCGAGGGGCCAGAACTGGGGGAAGGAACGGGGGCGCCGATTGTGCCTGTGAAGATCACTGGGCAGGTTGAGGGGGGCAAGAAAAAGAGCGGGCTGAAATTGAGCCTTGGGAAGGGAGCGCTTTCAGAGAAGGACGTTGAGAGACTTAAAATGGTCAGGGGTCTAGTTCCTCTTCGCAAAGATATTGGGAAATTCGTCGAGGGGCCAAAGCCGAGGGAAGAAAAAGGGGCCCCAACCGCTCTTGTGAAAGGTACTGGGCAGGCTGAGGGCGTCAAAAAAAAGAGTGGGCTGAAATTGAACCTTGAAAAGGGAGCAATTTTGAAGACGGTTAACGAGGGGCAAGGACCGGACGCCACTCCTGTCAAACGAGAGAAAGCCGCAGACATCGGTGTGATTGCAGTAACTCCCAAGGCGGAGTTACTGCCAACGAAGGAAGCACCCGCAAAGGCACCCGGCTTCAAGCTGAAGCTGAAGCTGAAAGGAGTGGTAGTTGGGGACAAAGGGCCCCCCGGGAAGGGTGTGACGCCGACGGAAAGTGCGCGGCCGAGCCCGGGGGTCGACTCGCAGGGGAGGCTTTGGAAGGGCGTCAAGACGGAGACGGAGCAGCCGCCGGCCGAGGTGAGGGCACGAAGTCTAGGAACGCGATCTGCTGCCCTCCGGAGGGCAGATCTTGATCGGTGCTCCGACTGTGAAGAGGCTAAAAATGGACAGCTGCCGTTTTCCCGAGCGAATTTCGCCGTCCTTTTCCGCCCTATCTTGCCCTGCTTGCGCAGCTTGTCAGGCTCCTTGCCCGTCATTCTGCTCAGCATCTTGCACTGGCTGCCCGTTTGAACCGGACGTGGCAATAACCTTGAGCTGTTGCTGGTTTGTCGGGAAATTTGAACATATTGAAATGAAAATTGCACGGATTGAGTATACCTTCGGCCCAGTGCGATGACCATTGCGTGCTGCTGATTTACTGAGCATGCCTCGCGCCGGCGTGCCTGCAGGCCCAGACCCCGTCCGCTCGCAAAGGCCCTGAGAGCAGCGATGATGAGAAGCGTAGGGACAAGCTCAAGGGGATGAGCGACGAGGAGTACCAGCGGATGAAGGCGGCGAAAAAGGAGGATAAGCGGAGGCGAAAGGAGGAGAGGAGACGACGGAAGAGCCTGGGGGCGGGGGAGGCGGAGGCCGCAGCAAGGGGCGCTGCAGAAAATGAAGAAAGGGCATCGCTGAATAAAAAGAAATCAACGGCGGAGGATGTGAGGAAGAGCGAAGAAAGGGCGGCAGAAGATGAGCGGCCTGGGGCGACCGGTGGTGACGTCACTGCCGATGGTTTGCGTGCATCGGAGCTCCAAGCCGGAGGGGAAACACCACGGGTGAGAGTCAAGCGGGAAGCAGAGGCAAGGGCCGGGGAGGAGGGTGCGGCGGGGACTGAGCGCGGGGAACACGTGGCAGACGCTGGAGTGCTCGCGAGCACAACAGGAGGTAGCGTTCTCGGAAAGAGGGGAAGGGATGGGGGCGTGGGCTCGGGGAGTCACTTCGGGAAGCTGACGTCAGATATTGACGAGCTGGAAGCGGAAATCGGGGACGTGATTCCGTCACCGGCGAAGGAGGAACGGAAGCGGCGGCGGATGCGTGAAGGAAGCGCCGGGGGCGGAACAGGAGCGGAAGTTGGGTTTGCGAACGTGGGCGAACGCGTTTTGGGCGACTTGGATGACTTGGAAGGGCCGCAGGCGCGGGGGCTGGGGTCGCCGGACGAGGCGGAGAAGAAAAAGCAGGAGCGGTTGCGGAGAGTGAAGGAGATGCTGGGCAAGAAAAGAGGGGCAGGAGGGGTAGAGATGGAAGCAAGAATTGGCGGGGAAGAAGGCCGAGCGAAGGAAAAGATGGGGAAGGGGAACAGTGGGGGACCGATGGAGGCGAGGGGAGGGGCTGCGGAGACGGCCTTTGGGTTCAGCCGCGAGTGGAAGGTGAGGGAGGCGAAGGGTGCTTCAGGGAAGTCACAGGGAGAGAAAAATGAGAGCACGGAAGGAGGCGGTTTGCGGGACGGGCAGTGGGAGGATGATGCGGAGAAGCGGGCAAAGGTGAGCGGAGACAAGAGGGAAAAGATTTCAGCGGCAGAGCTAAAGGCAGGAGCGCAACCACGGGAAGCGCCGCAGATCGATCGGATACGGATCAAAAAAGAGAGGGGCACGGAAGAGCGATTGAAGCGGGTAAAAGACGAGCGAGGCGGAGAAGTATTGACACTAGACGGTGACAGGGGAACTAAAGGGGCTTCTCTCGAGGGCGCTAGAGGTTTGGAGGATCAGGCAGAGCCTATTGACACGGGACAGTACGGGGCAGAGGGCGTCGAGAAAGAGGGGGAGAAACGGGAGGGGGAGAGGAAGCGGAAGAAAAACCGGGACGAGAAGCGGGGGTCGAAGCCCAAAAAGAGGATGAAGTCGTTGGACGCTTTGCTGGAGGAGGAAGCGAGTCGTCCGAAACCGGAGGTTGAAATGGGCCCAGTGAAGATGGAAGCGGGTGCGGAGCCAAAGAAAGCACCGCCGCCGCCGGACAAAGGGCCGCTGAAGCTTACCATTCGATTCGGCAAAGCGAAACCGAAGCCTTGAGAAATGTGGAACGGCCCACTTCCTGGCATCCTGACAGATACCTCTGGCAGAGGGCGCGAATGCACTTTCTTGTGTGTGCGGGTCCGACTCAATTCGCTTGTGATTTCGTGCGGACCGATTCACTTTGACTTGCAACATTGTCCTGCGCGGCCATGTTGTCATCGAGCTCGAATGCTCGACTTCCTTGGCGCGTTCTGTGACGCTCTGATGTTGAAATTGAGAAGTTGCATTTTGTTCCCGGCAGCAGGGCGCCATCATTGTAGAAAAGATGCAAGAGGATGCTTGACCTGTCCAGACGGTCTGGATCACCATTGCTTCGATCACATGTCATAAACATTTGTGACAGTTCCTTTCATACGAATTGGAGGATGCCTACACGTCTTGTGTCGTGCATTTGCACCTTCATCGTCACGGCGCGTTGAGAGCTGCAAGTGTGCCTTAGGCCGGTACTGTGGGCAGCTCGCGGCCTGGCCGCGCCAAAGATACTTGATCGATCGCCCGAGGCAAACAAAAGAACTGGTGAGGCCAGTGGGTAACGTAGTTGTACCTCATGCACCATGACAGATATCGGGTGTTCAGTATAGTTCAGCATGCGCCGTTGCGGTGGTTGGTGCGGCGCTCACCTAGCGCCATAGAGTGTACGTGACATATGATATGCTCACATGTTCAAACCGAATCGTTATGATTGCTTCTGAACGTCAAGAATATAGCAGCGCTGATCAGTGGCAGCACTGAACTCCAACATTCAAGACCCATAAGGCCAGGCTCATCCCTCAAAACCCCAATTTTCTTCCAGTACCGGTAGTTTGGGTGCCTGCAGCTGGCCGTTCAGCTGCATGCATTGAAGTCAGCATTTCAAGTTTCTGCATCTTTCACGGCTGCTGCAAGGAGGGTCAATTGGCAAGTCAAGTGTGACACGGTCTTCCACCCCCAGCTCAGTAGCTCGCAGGCCTTTTCCAGGCAGAGTTTCAGGCATCATACCACTCCCAATCAGCTTCAAAGGCTGTGCGCTGCCATAATAAACCTGAGCATTGCAACATGGCCTCCCCGGAAGCAGATGACTCCGTAAAGCAACCTGCCATCGATTCAGCTGGCGGCACCACCACTTCAGAGCCACCTGATACGGCACGCCGGTTTAGGGATATCAGCGTCCGGGGGCGGGAGCTTCGTATCTATGAGCACAGCTCCTTGATGGACCCGCAGACAGGGCGGGCGCTGACAGGGGCCTGGGTGTGGGACTGTGTGAGCACTCCTGTTCTTCCAGCACTGTTCTGCATAGAATGCTGTAAAGGGACGTCGGAGAGCAGGGCGACAGGAATCAGCGCAATGCCGTGAGGCTGCGCCCATCAATCCTAAAAATCTAATGAATGGGCAAGCCAACTTTAGAGCGAAATGGAGACAAGCAATGCGGTGTGGGATTTTGAATGCATGATTGATACAGGCCTTGTTTGCAGCGCCGGTCTGGCGTATGTTCTCCTGCTTACAGGCCTCCCGCTTCCTAATGTCCCATGCAGGCTATCGCTGTCGCAAAGTGGTTTGAAACCCAGTCATGGCCCCCTGGTGAGTGCGGCCACTACAATTGTTGATTCTGTTCCCTCCAGATATCAGCTGATTTCAGTCTCTTTGAACTTGCTTAGTCTCCATCCGCACCACCCTTCCTGCTTTCCGTGAATGATCCCAAGAGGATCGTAAGAATTGATGAGTACCTTTGAGGGCGAAGATGCAAAAAGTTCTGGTGTCTTTAGCAATGAATGATCTGTCAGCAGAGGCACTGGCTGAATACTCACATGTGTGGACCTCCTGTTTTTTGCAGGTTCTTTCAAGGGCAAGCGGGTGATCGAAGTTGGTGAGAATACTGACAAGGCAAAAGGGCGTTAGGTTCGCCCAATCGCATGTATACGTTTCTTGAGGTGCATATTGGTGCTGACCCAACGCGCTGTCCTCCGCTGGATAGAGAAGTGGAACTCAAATGCAGGTTTCCTGGCGGGTCGTTGCTTTGATAGTCTCTTAATCTTGCTCATACATGAGTTTCCCAGCCTTGTACAGGCAACAAATGTTTTGCAAAGCTGTAAATACTGTTATAAATCAGGTGACACCTTGCTCCTTCTCTGTGCAGGCGCGGGTACTGGCCTGGTAAGATTGTCATCAGCGTAGCGCCAGCAGTGCGAAAGAGTGGACACTTTTCCGTTCCGCAGTGGGTTGACAAGATGCAAATTCTTGAAGCCTTCGAAACTAGTGTACTCATTGGCTGATAGCAGGATTTCCGCTTGACGTTATAGATATTGGATTTGCTTCGACCTTTAGCGTTTTCAGAATTGACAACAGCGTGCCCGATTTGACCACCGGAGTTTCTATAAACGTTCGTTCTGTACAACACCCTGACCGCTGATATATAACACGACTTCAAAAGGATTGCCCCGAAGCCCCCCGGTTCCCCGCTTGTCCTTTAGTTCGATCTACAAAGTAGATACTAAGGGTTCAGAACGCTCCGATTTCCTGGTCGTGCAGAGCGTTTGGACAGCATACTTTTATTCATAGTTGCTAGCCCACTATCTTTCGACAAGTGCCGCCAGTCCTGTCTGGTGAGTCGATTGCGCCCAAGGTTATTCACTCTTCAACAAAGTTGGCTTTGTTTGGAGTCCGATCGCAGCCCGGTGCTTTTCCTGCAGGTGGGTCTGGCTCTGGCCTCCTTAGGTGCCGACGTGGTCCTCACCGATCGCGAGGCACTTATGCCAGGCCTGCGGACCAACATACAGGTGACCCGACGACCAGCCAACTTGGACCCCTTGAGAATCTTGTTGGGGGCGCAGCTGCTCAAAATGAGGCACAGCTCTTACTGGACTTCGTTCTCGAGAGGGGGTCCGATTAAAGGTTCATTGCGTCTTTGTCTCTCAAAGTTGCATGAAGTCGAACAGCCATTCCGTGACTTCCCCTGCAATACGGGTGCAACTATATGAGGCTGCTGGATTTGAAACGACTCAGGATCGCAAATGTCCTTCTCGCTGAACGTTCTGGGCAGGTAATCTGCAACGTTGACATGGCCGCTTGATGGGCTTCTAGAACGCTACTTTCTCTTGCAGGCCAACCAGCTGGAGGAGCGGTGTCGAGCCGACGTGCTCGAGTGGGGGTCCGATGCGAGCCACCTGTTTCCGCCGGTCGACTACGTGGTGGGGTCGGACATCCTGTATGACATGTAAGTGCATCCAATATGTTCCGCCCTAAATTGCAAAGTTTTCGCCCTGTCAACCCGCTAGCCGTTCGCTTGACTTCCGGGCGGAATGCTGCGTCTTGCCTTGGTCGTCGATGTAGGACGGGTGGTGAGAAAGCAAGGGCCAGAAGTTGGTAGCAACTTCATGAGGTTCCATTTTGGAGTGCGTCACTTGTCGAGCGTACACGCAAAACTTCGCTCGTGCATCCGCTTCATCACAATCACGATGGGAGGAGGAAAGGAACCCTGAGATCTCTTCTGAGTTTTAGTGTGTCTGTAGCCCGCAGGTCCCTCGTCCCTGCCCTCTGTAAAACCTTGCTGGACCTAAGTGGCCCAAACACCCAGGCAAGCAACGTTCTTTCCTCCTACGTCCAAAGCACTTGCCTGCTTATCACCTTCTTTCAACAGCACGTCCGGTTTGCAAGTGCCTTCCGTTCGTACGCGGCCTGCTTCGCCGCTGGTTATGCCGTGCGTCCCAATGAAGCGCAAAACCTGCCGGATGCAACAGCCGCATCGGGGCTGGTAACACGCCTTCTGCTTATGCAGATCATCATCGGTTATGAGCTGAGGTTCGGCACCACGGAGGCCTTCCAAATTATGCGGGAGCACGGGCTCGTGTCCGTCAAGGTAGACTACGACAAGCTGCATCCAGAGGTGGGTTTCCTGGCCGCCTCATGCTAGTTGGCTGTGTTGAGCCACTGTCATGTGCTGAGGATATTGAGGCAGATCAGGAATACGTGCTGTTATGGTAGGGTTGGCGTTCTAACAATCACCGGTTCAGATTACTGCCTGGGTACTCTCTGGTTCCTGCGAGAAGGCCTACAAGTTCTGTGTTTCCTACCCGCGTCGACAAATGAATCGTTTGCGTTGCTTCCGACCACCGCAGGTGAGCTCTCGAGTTGTCGGTCGACGTGTAATCTCGTAGGCCCAAGTTGCGCTCGAGCATGGTCCCGGGCTCCGCTTCTGGCCATCGGGCCCCTCGTCATGGGATCAGGTATGTATGAGAGAACGTTTCCCTATGTATAGGCAACCGAAAGCGTGACATACTTTTTCTCTTCTGCAGTGGCGGAGCGACGATATCGGTATCTTCATCATTCGAAGGGGTGAAGCGTCGCCCGCTTCGAGAAAAAGCACGAGTGAAGATGAGATGCCAAACTACAACGATCTAAATGTCCTGAGCAAAACTTAGATGAGAATCTCTAGCGTGCACGGCGCCAATCGAGATCAGGATCGTGCAGTGAAATGCCAAGCTGGCAAAATTCGATGCACAAGAGTTAAGTGGCAATCAAGGGCAATGTTCGCCGAAGCTACTCATTTGGCCCTGCTCGCAAGCTTCACACAATGGTCTCTAGCTGTCTTCGGCTACCCGCTGATTCCACCATGATCTATCGGATGCCGGGGTATGCGTTTAGCTTACCTTATTCAACCATAAGTTCATGCTACGCTTTGGCTGCGCGCCATTGCGCCCGTGATTGCCGATAGGTGGAGCATGAGATCAAGCGCACTCCGTGTCTGGTGGCCGGACCGTCTCGATCGACTTGCCAGCTTTAATGATATGTACTATAGACCAGTGCAGCCGGCGGCTGCCCACTACTGGCAAGCATGGATGCTTATATGCACAGCTATAAAATGCGGCGTGCGACGCCAGCTCAATTTGGTGACCTTTATTAACCTGCTCGTGCATGGCCAGGCCCGGCTGGCAATGCAGTGCACCCGCCAGCACCATGGCGGCGCTTTGAAGTTGACTGTCATGATCACCATTGCAGAGACTAGCCTAGAGGCGCGCTAATTGGGCGGCCACGCGGGCATGCATGCGGCCGTTCACTCGGGTCGCTGGCACACTTCGATTTAACGTGTGAAGGGAAAGCACGGTCATGAAGCAGAGGTAGGTATTGTCAGCCTGGCAGGACACGCTTTGCACCATTTTTGCAGCGTACGACATGCTCGTACGGATGCCATTACGTCATTTCCTTTGTGCACGCGGCATGGACATTTGAGTCAAGCAGGCAGACTTTGCGATGCTCGCCTAATCATCATCTTCGTCGTCTTTTCTCCTATCGAACCTGGGGTTAGCTATCCTTTCAGGCTCCGCATCCTTTTCGACCGATCCTTGCCCCGCCGCCGCAAGGGTATTACTTACCTTACCCCGTTTTCGGTTTCTTGACTTACCATTCTGTCTAGGTTCTTTCGAGCCTGGTTGCGGCTCCACATCGTTGCGGAGCCGCTTTCTAGGACCCAAAGGCCGCTCTGGGACCTCTTGAACAGCGACGGGCTCCTGACCCCAAACTGCAGACAGAAATGAGCAGGTCACATTTGGCACGTTCTTTCAAAAATCGGCTTAAAGCAGAAAGTCTATCCACGATCATTTACAAAACACCATTATTCAATGTGCATGCTCGGGAGGTCTTCAAATGCATTCAGCAGCCTCGCAGTGGCTCTCCAAAATCGTTTCTTGACCTCGTTGAGTTTTATATTGACGAGGTTGTGGCTATCTAGCTGCACTCAATCGATCAAACTCTCGACAGTCCCGGCCGTCCACAAATACTGCCTACATTCTCGGCGTCCTTGGACCTCCATACCAAAACATTGGTGGAAATGATACAAAAGCAAGCCCCTGATATACAAATCGAGATGCCGACCAGCCAGCCCTACATTCTGAGGACGACCCAGTGCTTTCTGCGTCTGCAGCAACTAGCTACATAATCGTCAGGAAGGCTGTGCGGCGGACCTTACTTTCCGCTCGCTGTACAGTCGTCGACTTAAGCTTGCAAAGCAGTTTAGAAATTGCCACATCACGGATTAAGGCACAGCCAGCTTGCAGAGCAGTTTAGAGATTGCACCACGATTTAAGGCACAGCCCTCACCTTCTTCGCTTTGCTGCTCATGTTGCCAGTCTCCCCGCTCTCTCCTGCTGGCCCCTCGTCCCCGCCCCCCGCCCCTGCCTCGCCCCTGCCCTCTGCCGCCATCTCGTATCCACAGATGGCGAGAGACGACCCCCTCTTCCGGCTTGACGTCAGCAGTGCACGCAATCCTGAGGCTCAGTGGCAGCCTGAGGTCATCCCTTTCGAATGGCTTCCCAGCATACCAGGGGGCAGGGAGCGCCTCGTTAGCAGAACCCGGCTCCTGGGTTCCGATTGTTAAGAGGGCGCGCTTGGCGGCAAACTCGTCCTCAAAAACGATGTTACCTGCGAGAAGTGCCAATGGGTGCTAATCAGCTGTCTCCGTCGAGCAAGGTATCAAACCAGTGCCACTCAGCGAGGGTGGTTGCCAATCGTAATCTTTTCTCACGATAAACAACAGTTGCCTTGCCGAACAAAGTAAGCTCAGAGATCAAGTAGGTGTTCGAGCTGATAGTGGCGTGCGGAGCGGAAGCAAGGTCTGAGCAAATTTGTGAAATTCTATGGTTGTGAGCCCGATTATAGACGGTCAACTTAAGAAGACCTGTTTTGACATTGATCAGACCATGAATGACAGGCAGTCTGGTTTTTTAAGGTGCAACGAAGTCAACAATCTGGTCGCCTGGCTACCGAAACAAAGAGGAGGTTCAGTACTCGAAATCTACAAGTATCATCGAAAGTACGACAAGTATTGACAGCTTCGATGAGGCATGTCGCTTTCGGAGGTATCCTCTTCGAAGGCCATTATTGACCGGGCTTACATGAGGAGTCGTTGATCCACTCCACAAAGCTGGGTCCATACCCCGTGAAGTAGCGCAACACGTCCTTAGTGGACAGTGTATCGGTGCCGTACACATAGATCGTGTCTAGCCGAAGGGAGGCGGTGTCAGGCGCATCCCGTCGGACCTCCAATGCATCTGCGGGATACAGGGGCAACATATGATGAGAAGGCTTCTTGACGAAGCCGCGATGACTTTCAAACAACCTTCGATCGATACTTTGATGCCCTCCTACTAAAGATGCTGATGTTACTCCAAGAAGATCTCAGTGGGAGCCTGTCAACAACGGCTGAAACAATCAGCTTTCTGAATGTCGGTTGCATCCTTAAACTCAGTTCTGCCCGTTATAACCTCATCTTTGATGCTTCTCAGACAGCCCCACCAAACAGCTGCTTTGGTCGTGGGGAGAAGAGGCGTCGCACTTGGGTAAAACCGCTAGTCCGGTCAGGTTTACGACTATAAAGTGCATCTTGCCAGGAACAGATCTTTCCAGGCTTCCACTGCCTTTCAACTCGCAGCCCGGCCTCACCTACGTCCATGGTTGCGCCCTCAACTGCAGGTTCTGGCTCCACCGCACCAAACCTCTCCGCCCGTAGCCGCCGCTTCCGCTCCTCATCCGTCTCGTCCTTGGCGGCAGTCGCCAGGCCATACCGCTGCGCACGGCGCTCCTTCTTGGCCTTCTCCTCCTGCCAATGATAGAAAATATTTCTGTGTTTTTCTAGTGTTTTGGGCCTGAAGTCTCAGACTCCTTGGTTATCAAGCCTGAAGTCTGCGCTCAACAAAATCGTGGATGATGGGCGCAACTGCATCAGCCTACTGATGGAAGTAGAACGGCGACCTGCACATAGCCCCAACGCTAACATACAACAAAGGATGCCAGCCGCCAACAAAACCCCCGCCTGACATGCGAAGTAGGCGTACAAAGTTTGTGGTCGAGGACTAAATCTTCTTATCCTGGTAAGCACCAAGAAAGCACCACCAGCAGTGACCAAAAAGCAGACAGTCCAGATCAAGGAACCAGACATGGAGCATACCTCTGAGAAGAGGTCAATACCCACGGCAAAACCTTTGCGATCTCCAGCGCGCTCCCTGGCGATCTGGGTTCGTAGCTCGGCTCGAGAAAGGAGGAGATCTTTCCTGGGCTCGACATACTCAACTCCGAATTTGCGGGCCCTGCACATGTCGGTTGATGTCAATGGCAGGCCTTGCATTGATCGCTCTCTCCCAGAAACAATGGCAGTTGATGTTCTGAGCGATGCACTGGTGGTAGTTTCAATAAAGCCGAGTACATCTTCTTATGGACTGCATTGAATTATCACATATCCTTAGTGCGTCAATCTCTCCACCACCAAGATATACGACCATACAGAAGCGATGCATTCCAAACTCAGCATGAAATCCTGATGCTGTCCTAAAAGCTTTCCTTGCCTTATTTCAAGCCATCTCCAAAAACATCATTATTTCCTCTCATCATTCATCGAAGCGGCTCAAAGACATTGGTCAGAGCTCTTGTACCTTGCTTGGTGCTTTTCTTGCTCCAATTGCACCGCTGACTTCTCAAGACTTTCTTGAGCACCAAACAATATCGGTTCCGGAAGCTTTTTCTCAGGGTTCGCCACCTCCGCATCGCCGTTCAGTTCCTCCACGGAGAGATCCGGTGCAGCCGCCATCACCAATACTATTAAGTAGTGTCTTTGATTGAAGTGAAGCGCGCCAGCTCCATCATCTGGTTTCAAAGTTGAGAAGCTCAGTTTGCACGTTGAGGCATACTGTGCAGATTGGGTTTTACCGATTAGGGTTTTACAGTCGCTCATATCAGCTTTCCAGGCGCTCTGGACAAGGGGGAAAGGGAGCATTTGGGGAGGGGGAGAATGTGGGTATACATAAGGGACCCGTCTGTGCAGAGCGTGAGGAGAAGGCAGCTCAGCGAGAGGTTTAAGCCAAGCTCGTTCAATTGCTGAACCTGTTCTTTGCAATGAGAAACCTGCTTCTCAGCACGGCAGGCGAAACATGGTGAGGTGATGGTAGAAACTGCTTGACTGATGTCACCCCTTAATCGCTGGGCCCTCCTGGGCCTGCGCAATGTTGTGCAAACAAGGTGCGGTCTACGCAAGGGGCATACTCAAGCTAGCTACCACAGCTCGCTACTCTCCCTCACTTTGTGGGACGCAAGTGACCAGACAAGGAGAACGTTCTCAACACATTCTCAAATGGATGTCCCTGATGCAATCGCTCTAGTTAGAGGGGTTCCCGACTCCTTTTCAGAGGCGCTGACGCTCCATGAAAAGCCAGAGGCGATCGATGTTGCAAAGGCCAAACAGCAACATGCCGCATATGTTGAGCAGCTTAAGAGTGAGATCTCTTTCCCCCTTCTTGTGATAATCTTAACAATTGCAATAGCAGAACATTCTTATGAAATAAGAGATGCGCCCCACATCAGGGCATTCCTTGGCCTCAAAAAGCTGCAATTGTCCTCTCATTTCCACCACAATTCCCTTCTTGCATCTCCCTGTGCTCCCCGCTGACATGTGAAAAAAGAAAAAAAGTCCGTCTTCCTTGGCAGGACTTGTTCCTCGAGTTGTTGAGATAGCCCCAGACAACCGATACCCAGATTGCTGTTTCATTGAAGACACTGCCGTGGTTCGGGGTAATAGCGCCCTGATCACAAGACCGGTGAGGGGTACTGCTAAAAAACGCCATGTAGGCGGGACCCAGCTTTCCTGCGTTTGAACCGGATTCACCAATCAGTTTTCAAGCAAGACTAGTTGAGATATGCTCTCTTCTTCAAGGACTCGCAGTCTTATTGTGGCACAGAAGGTTCTTGCTGCAGGTTCACCTTCAAACACCAAGCCCAATAAGTAGGACAAAAGTCTGGGACGAAATGTTTGGGCGGAATCAAAGCGAAAAGCCAGCAAAGCCCCCCTGAGAACTCTGTCTAAGCAGGTTAACTCCACTCGTTATGAAGCCGCAGCAAGCGTCTCCACTGGACGATAGTCAGCTTTTCATCAATGTACCTTGAGGTTGACATGCCGTGCAGCTGTAAGTGGTTTCCTTGAGAGACCACCTATCTTTTACTCGCCAGGGAAACATCGCCCGCCAGGGCGAGGTGACCGCAGTCAGGGAGAAGCTCCAGGAGCTGGGGGTCCAGACCACTGACACTGAACCCGATGCGACTATCGATGGCGGGGACGTGCTGCAAACGCGTACCCACATCTTTGTCGGACTCAGCAGGCGAGTGGCTTACTGCTGTCTGTAGGATTGGTCTGACGTCCGATAGCATGTATCTTCGATCTGCCTTCGACATGAACACTGCATCAAGCTTGCTCAAAGTCTTTGAAAGTGATTTGACAAACCTCCACTCCTGTCGCACTGCAATGTTGTCTTGGTAAATACGTCTGCTATCTCTTCGTTTCTGTTCGTCATTTCTAGCCAAATCTGAGCGGAGCCGCCTGAAACAGTATGCTGAAGGTTGGCTACAGCAAAGCATGCTCTTCGAGCGAAGAATTGAACCGTGTTTCGGCTAAAACTGATTCTTCTAGCTCACTTGCGCAGTCGCACGAACGAGGCAGGAGTCGACGCTCTGCGCAAGGCTTTCCCTGACACCCCTGTTGTGCTACTGCCTGTGCCCTCTGGTCTGCATCTGAAATCAGGTTCGTGGACCTCCTGAAATTCTTTGCCTTTAAGACAATTTGCTGCGCTTCGCTCATGTTTCCAACGTCGCCTTGCTCGTCCTCAACGCCCCGAAAGTCTTGATCAGCATTCATACGTTTCTTCCTTAGTGTGAACCTTTTCGTTTTCCCTTGCCTCCTGCCGTTCAAGTCATGTCCCGCAAACCTCTTATAATTTTGATTATAACAGGGGTCTTCTTCGGCGGTACTAAAAGCCCATAAACCCCCACTTGACATTGCAGGCCTTTCGTGGGTGGGGCCCAACACTCTGGCCGTCGAGGACTCCCCAGAAGTACTCGATATCTTCAAGAGGATCAAAAAGCTCCTGGGCCAACCCGAACTTCACGCCCTTCGAATACGTGAGACAGGAGCTGCGAATGCCTTGCTCGTGAACGGGTCTCTTCTCTACCCCCGTGCCTATTTTCGGACGTCCCACAATCCATATGAAGGTCTGTCTGTTCCGGTATACCCGATAGACATGTCGGAGGCTCATAAAGCTGACGGCGGCTTAACATGCGGCTCTATTTTGATCAAGAGACGGCCGGAGTAGAGTGTAAGCGTGCAAGGAGGCTTGAATTAACCATTGTCGTTCTTTTCTTGAAGTTCCGTTTCAACAATAACATCAACAATAAGGAATGCTTTTGGAAACAACAAGCGTTGGCAGGCCAACGTGCAAGTCGATAGGAGTGCTAGTGACAGCCACGTCTCGGATGTCACAACCCACTAACATGACATGATATCGCCCGGACGGCCAAGACATTGACAAATCTTGACACTGCAAAAGGCATCGCACCTATATGTGCATGTGGCACATGCTGATTGATTCGACTGTCGTCTGGCTGATTGCACATATGTGCAGCCTTCCGCGTGTGTATGTCAATGCCTCGGCGCATGGCCCGATCATGTGAACACCGGGCGGCCCTCCGTTGAGTAGAATTAGCTCCATACTTATACATCTAGTTTGAGCTGGCAGGCTTGCCAGCGGGCCAGCTTCCAGTTGCCAAGCTCAGTGCCGCGTGACGCGCCCTGCCATATCATGTTCTTTAGGTGTATCCCTGTACCGAGCTTCAAATCGAAGTTCGGAACGTGCCTGGCCGGCGCGAATAAGTCAGGCCAGCCTATATGCGGTTAGGTAAATTTGCTCGAGTTGCCCTGCATTCGCACAGCTAGCACGCATGTGGCAGAATTCTGTCTTGTCTTCGGGCGTGTCCGTTAGGATACCCCTGTGAATTCAGAGAGCCGACGCCTGAACGGACCACATGTAAGTCTGCATGACTGGGACACCTGTAATGAACGGACTGGCGGCGAGTTTGACATGCACTAGAATGTTCTGCGTTTTACTGCAATGCAAACGCGTCAAATCATTGCATTTAATCAAAGGGCGCAACGTAGCTTTTGGTAGCGAGCCTGAATGCTGATGCTCCTTACTAAAGTTCTTCAAACACCGTCTCAGTATACAACTAATAAGTTATCAAAGTGGTTCGTCAAAGCGGAGGTCCAACAGCGCACTGTTGGTCAGCTCCTTGTCCTGGTCGAGGCCCCCGAGTCTAACATTATAGAAGTTCCCGTCAAATATAGATGCCCAGATGTTGTCTCTGCCATCGTAGTCAAGATCGCAGACCCAAAGCCGACCTGTCTCTCTTGACGACACGTGTCCTCCAACCTTCAATTCGTCTTCCGTAAAGTTATAGATTTCCAAATCAAGATCCATCCGCTGTATCACGCGTCCGCTTCCCGCAAGCTTCATCTTCAGATGACCGATGCTTTTATGTTGCTCAGAAAAGAACGGCTCGAGCCGAGAACTATAGAAAGTGAAGGCGACTCTTCCGGGAGCCTTGCCACGAAACGCGTTCTTGAAGCCGAAGTCGCCCACTTCTTTCACAGAGAACGGGCTTTCCTAAAGCAACAAGCCCCACAGGAGGAGTCGCCCTTTCTCCCTCAGAACAAGAAGGTGTTTGTTCAGCAGATACTCCCCGGCTGAGCTGTCTCGCACGGCCGAGCCGTCATGCCCGAATACGATACTAGCTTCCTGCTTTTGTACATAGAAGATCCACCGCGGCACAGCCCACCGAGCTTTCACTAGCTGCTTGTACCCACCCAAAGCTAGGACTTCCGCTTCGACGCTCTCGTCTTTGCAGTGCTCCCCACACCTCGAGTCTCTGCCAAAAAAGGCGTCCTTCCAGATGGCCCGGTTGTGCTCGGCCTCCCGGTGGAACGTTTTGCAGGCGCACGTGACGCGTAGCAGGGACCGGGGATCCTGCACCGCCAGCTTGTGAAGAACGACGAAGAAGACGTCGCCCGGAAGACTCTCCATGGCCGCTCAGACACTCGCTCGGAAGGATACACTTCGTAGCTACGGTTTTGTTTTCTCTGCCTCTAATCTGGGGTTTACGGAAGCTTGACGCACAAGCTGGTCTCGAGATCTTTTTGAGACGTGAAGACTTTTGGAGATTGAGATGGAGCTTGCAAGCTGAGATGCCTAGAAGAGGGGTAAAAAAGCAACTATTGATGTATCTCAAAAGAAATACAGAAAGAGACTGTGAAAGATCTCACAGGATCATTGCACAGTTGCCAGGATAGTATGCAGAATCGGAGAGAAATTAAAAGACGCCCTTAGGGGGCCTCCAGGAAAGGGGCATTCAGAGGGACACGTAGTAGGAGGCATCCAACTGTGCGCTGCGACACTGCTGAATCATACCCGGCTCGTCAGCTTGAGGCGTGCTGTTGGTTGAGTCGGCAAATGAATGAGTCTCTCGATATTCACGGAATCAGACAGGCGGCCGGCGCGGCCGGCCCGCTTTGGATTTTGGGGAGGTCTTGGCGAGTTTTTACTAGTGACCAGAACGCGCGCGGCTCCGGGGCGTCGCCCGCTCGAAACATTCAATGACAAGCACTACTACCGTACTCATGTACAGTCTTCAGCCGATCAGCGGCATAGGGTATGGATCATCTTGCTGGCAACCTGCTTTCGGCGTTAGCTAGCAACGCAGGTCAACGCTCTTGCTTGATACGTAAGCAGCAGAAGAAACACGGAGGGCCTTCATGGCGACGTGTCTGGTAAATTTCTGCAAGCTGGCGGCCCAGCACCCGCGCTCTAATGTGCAGGAGACCTCTTCTTGGCGTCCGTTTACCGCGCCACGGCGGACTTGAACGAGGCAACTGAAAGAGCAATTCATGCCCCACTAATCGGGCACGGCAGCAGCAACTAAGTAAAGAGTAGTGCCGGCCAGAACTAGAGAGAAAGAAACTGCAAGGCAGAGATATAAGAGGTAGGCGGGTTGGACTCGAGCGACTGATGAAAGCTCGGCCTTATTCGGAGCGCGGCCGCAGAAGAGAATTTCGAGATTCCCACACAAGGAGGAGCAAGGCTAGCCCCATGTCTTGCCCCAAGTCTATCTGTTAGTCACCCCCCTTCCGCCGTTGGAAAGGCTTGATCTGCACGGGGTTTTTCTACTAAGGAGTGTATTAATAGGGGCCTTGAATTGGTGAACGGTGCCTCAAAGAACAGCCTCCAGACTCCCACCCAGTTCGAGCATCAAAAAGGATGCGCCCGTACCTAATAATCTCTCTCAGTCTCTTAGTCCACTACCTCCAGCTTATTTTGGATCTGGAGATTTCCGACCTAGGAAGCATGGAGGAAGGCCGCCCGATGACGAAGACAGGGCAAGCAAGCTTCTGGTTACCTACGTTTTGGATTGAGCTGCGAGTCCGACATGGAGCGGAAGCAAACGGCGGCCCCGGTACGTTCAGGCAATTCAGGCCGCACCTGGCACCATTGGTTCATGTGAGCGCGCACCGGCCATGCGATCAGAGGCGTGTGTAAACCACATCGATCATGGGACCAAAGCCCTGTTCGGAACCTAGATGCGGATTGATGGCCGACGTACATGGGCTGTCCTAGAAAGATTGCATTCTGCATTCGTGAAAACCAAAGACCAAAGGGCATCAATCATTGTTAAGCCGAACTAAGTTTATACGTACGAGCGTTCGTAATCTATGGGAGGGGGCCCCGGCTGGGCATGCGCTAGTGGGAACGATATGGCGATCATACAGTGCATCTGACATCTGTCCATACATGTTGATTTCCGGAATGAAGTGCTCAACGGTGCTGCACGCTTCGATCCTCAGTGCAGATTGCATGTTGTTGCATCCATAGTCCTCTACTCAGGCCACTCGAGTTGATAATGAGTTGCTCAGGCAACATGGCCAAACACGAATAATCTTCTAGAAATGACTTTGTGTTACACATCCAATGGCGCTCGAAAGGTAAATACTTCAGGGTCAACAAGCCTGTCCCTGCCCCGTCCATATGGCCCATAATCAGGTTTTCATCGACGGCCTGCTTGGCTTTCATTGTGCTAGGATTTGGGGCGCATTCAGATGAGGTTTTGTCACCGCGTCACAATCTTGAAAGTCCATTTTGTACTGTTACACCTCCGCCCCAAGCTGCCTTCGCTGCCCTATTTCCCGTCCTGACTAAGACCTGATCTCAATGCTGACAAACCCCCTCTCCATCCTGCGAACACTCTTCCAAAGAACCGATCACGTCCCTTTCAAGCCCATTGATCGCCTAGGTCTACCTTGTACTTTCCCCTCCTGTCCGCGTAGCGCCCCCTTCAACTCAAATTGGGGAAAAAAAAAAGCTGAGTCAGACAGCTGCCTGCTCGAGAACCCCCTACTCCTTCTTGGCACCATCGGACGGTCCCTTTCCATCCGGATGGGTCGGCGAGTATGAACCCGCCTGCGTGGGCGAATATGGTACAGGGCCCGTCGGGGAGTACTTGCTGCAAACAATGGACGGATATACGGCGTCAAACTGCGCTCATAACACAAGTAAACAACCATCGTATTTGATCACTCGTCGTACAGCTCAAACCACCCTGTCTTGAAGGGGGCAGGGAAAGAGCAAGCTTCTGATAGCAAGTCGCTGGAAAGGGCAAGAGGCGGTATCCTCGAGGAGAAACCCCCAAACCGACGCACTAAAAGCTTTAGCCTCGGAAGTGTCTGCTGCCCAACAACAAGTCGTCCTCTTCAGATAAGAGAAGCGTGCGGGTCTAGTCCGCTCACATGTCCGGCGAACCGGGGTTGTACTCCGGACTGGTCGGTGAGTAATCGTTGCTGCAGGGAAAGAATGAGCGTTACTTGACTTGTTCCCATGGCGTTACCCCGTGCGAAAGACCTTGGACGACAATCTGGCAAAGCCTCTTGGTAATCAAACGCAAGCGTTGTGAATCCTCTAAACCCAAAAGCGCAGGTAGCAACCTGCGGGTTCAGAAATATAGCAATGCTTTGGCTTGAATCAAGGTTAACGACGACGTCGAGACTAACCATCAGATGTGATCAAGATGAAGAAGGGAGGACGAAGAGAAGGAAGCGTGCGAAGCCTTACTTAGCAGGCGAGTAGCTTGGACTTGTTGGGGAGTAACCAGGGGACGTTGGAGAGTACGCAGGCGAGGCAGGGCTGCAACGAGTTTAAGAAGACGGGTCAAAATAACAGTCACGGACTGCTCAGCCATAATGGAGAAACATGCCCAATCGGGATGCTTAGCAAGGCTCTGCCTGCTTGGGTCGGAGACAAGAAGTTCCGACCGCCAAAACGGGAGATGTTCGAGAGACTTACGAAAGGTCTCGAAGAGATACACGTGGTGATGCAGTATTGATAAGGCAATAGAACATCCTTCTGACGCTCTTTTACAGGAGCAAAGGACGGCATTCTGTAAGTTATCGACTGGTTACACTACAGTGTCAGAAGCAAGAGAGATGAAATCTGCAAAATAAGCTTGTAATCTCACCTGTAGGCTGGCGACGTAGGACTATAAGCAGGGCTCGTGGGGGAATACGAGGGTGACGTTGGGCTATAAGCTGGCGACGTTGGGCTGTAGGCGGGCGAGGTTGGGCTATACGCCGGCGATGTGGGGCTATAGCTGGGCGACGTCGGACTGTAGCTCGGCGAAGTTGGGCTGTAGCTCGGAGAAGTCGGGCTATATGAGGGAGACGTGGGGCTGTAGCTGGGGGACGTGGGGCTATAAGCTGGCGACGCCGGACTATAGCTCGGCGAAGTGGGACTATAGCTGGGCGACGTTGGGCTATACGCAGGGGAGGAGGGGCTATACTTTGGCGACGTGGGGCTATAAGCCGGCGAGGTCGGCGAATAGCTCGGCGACGTCGGAGAGTAAGCCGGCGACGTTGGGGAATAAGATGGGGACGTGGGGCTGTAAGAGGGCGACGACGGACTATATCCAGGAGAAGCGGGGCTATATCCCGGAGATGAGGGGCTATATCCGGGCGAGGCGGGGCTATAACCGGGCTGCGGGCTAAAGGCGACGCCGGCCAAGTACGGGGAGAACATGGGGTTGGTTGGGCCCGGGGAAGCGTCCCCGGCAGGGCTCAGAAGCATGGACGGAGACATGGTGGGGTCGTAAAAGTTGCCCGGGGAGCGGGCGGGGGTCATCCCCGGGGTCATGCTGCCCGGGGCGCCGAACTCGTAGGTGTCGGTCATGTTGATCTCCACCGCGTTCTTGAGCATCTCTTCGTTCAGGTGCAGCCCGAAGTCACCTGCGGCGAAGAAGACGCGAGTGAGCACGAACGGAGCAATGAGGTAGGACGAGGTGCATACAGCGCAGAGATGAATCGGCTTCCTGTAAGAACCAACCGAAGTCAGCAAGCGCAAAATTACCTCGAGAAGTCTGTCCCTGCAGGAGGAACGTATGCCCTAAGGTATGCAAGGGACAACACAAAGACACGAGAACTTCTGGGATTGCGCCCAAAATAAGGCAAGGCCTCCGACGGACCACTGGACATTAGGAACCTGTTTTATTGAAACTTTCGCCATCGGTCTCGACTCAACACTGCACCGTCTGGTGCATAATCAGACCGGGAATGCGAGTACTTGAGTCGTCATCATAAGCATCTACGCTGCTGTGTCTGATAAAGCTCGTGAATAGACCAATCTACAATCGATAACCCACCTGTTCCAAGCGGCGCCAGTTGCCCCAGCATGATGTTTTCCGACACTCCCCTCAAGTGGTCCGTCTCCGCAAACACTGCGGCATCGAACAAAATGTCGACCGTCTCCTCGAAGGAGCACCGCATGAGCGGCCCCGTCTCGTTCCGGTTGATGCCGTGGCGCGTGATGGACATCAGGTGCCCGCGGTACGTCATGACGTCACAAAGGATGGCCAGGTGGCGGTAGTTGACGTAGCTCCCGTCGAAGCTGATGACGTCACGGAGCTCCTTGAGCAGCGCCGCACGCACCGCCTCGATGCCCAGCACCTCGATGATCTGGAAAAGGGAGCCGGCGCGGAGGTTCAGGTCAGATCCTCGCCAGCGTGCAATCGGAGGGGCTACTCAGTACAATCAGCACAAGGTTAAGATAAACCTCAATAAGATGTCGTTGGTTGAATTTAGCTTTGTATGAACCCGAAAAAGTGCGACTATACATCGGCTGTTGACAACGAAAAGAGCAGAAGTACGCTTTCAAGATCTTGAGATCCGACCGAAGACCACAAAACAGACCACAGACAGCGCCCGTGAGGGTGGGAATCTAAAGATGATTTACCCCAACAGCTTAAAGCAACACACGCACACAAAGACCGTCTCCAAAGCACGACTCCAGACCTCAGAACCCTAGACACACGCCGTGAGGCCTCACCTCGATGAGGTGGTTGCTGGAGGTGCGCGTGTGGTCCACCCCCGGGTGGCACATGACCTCCATCAGGTTGACCCCCTCCGTGTCGAGCATCCACTCCGTCTGCGGCTTGAAGCCCTCGGTGTCGTCGAAGACGTTCTTCTTGACCTCGCGGATGAACACCTTCTTGATGCCGTTGATCCCGCGCAGCTTCATGTCCGTCAGCATCTCGCTCTCCACCTTGCGCAGGAATGCGTCGTCGTCCATGCCGTCCTCCTCCACGTCCTTGCCCTCAGGGTCCTGCACGTTTCGTAATAAATGGTTCAAGGGTCTGCTGAGTCAAACTGGAGGTTTCGGTGGATGTCTCGAAGCACAATCTCCATGCCGTCCTTAACCTACGAAACCTGCCAGGCACGGCCTGGGTGTTTAGGGTTCAAAGTCTTTGGTATGCGTAATACAGACCCCTCCTTCTGTCAAAAGAATCGTGTTGAAGAAGCATTACCAGTGGACGAGAAGGATAAAGGGTGTTATGTGTGCTTGACGGAAAACAGCTGTGCCGTTCTGTCAACAAAACCTTTCATATTTGCAAAGGGCACCGAACATTCCCGAAAATAACCTTCTCGGACTTGTCTGCGCCTAGAATCAACCAACCAAAACATCTTGATTAATCAACTACAAATTCCGGTTCAAGGAACATTCGGATCATTTGATTGGTTTCTGACGTCGACTACCTCCCCCTAAAAACGAATCAGTCAAGAATCAACCAGCTGAAACCAAATTGTCACCCCGAGCCTCACCTGCATGAGCCTGATCCGCAGGATGAGCTTGTCCGCGTTGTCGTCGGAGAAGATGACGGCGACGTCGTCCCCGAACTCCTGCGTGATGCGGTGGCCCACGTCGGCCATGCTCAGCTTCTTGTCCACCATCATCTCGCGGTTCAGCTCGATGCGCAGCAGCCACGGCGACTGCTGCCGGAACCCCTCGTCCGCCTCGTCAGGCATCTCGAAGTACGACCTGCGGGAACGGGGAGTGGCGGACGTTGAGATTGTGGTGCCGCAAGCTCTTGAAACTTTTTCCTTTAACTAGAATTAGCGCCAACTATGGCTCAAGCGTCCTCTGGAACTGCGAACGTCGTTGGAGGCAATTGCTGACTCTAGTAATATCGATGGGAGCAAACCTGGAGAAATGTGGTTGCAATACCCCGTAACGGGGGTGCGAATAGACCATGTCGGATCAGCAGCAGATTCTCACAAGCAGAGCAGAACCTTCGAAGGATCGAAGATTTCAAAGGGCCCCAGAATGTCCAATTCAAGGGAGCCACCAGGCAGTACAGAAACCTGCACAGATCTACTGCGCACCAAGCGCCGCAGCACTCACGTGACAAACTCGAGGTCCTCCTCGATGACGGTGGTGTTGGGGTCGGGGTCGTAGTGGATCTCGGTGGCCTGCGTGACGCTGCGCAGCGTGGTGTACTCGAGCGCGACCTGCACTTCTTTAGCGCGCTCGCGGTCCTTGTTGAAGTCGGGGGTCAGGTACACCGACAGCGACGGCGTCTTGGTCTGCTTCGCGATGTTGATGATTTCGCGCAGCCGCGGGACGCCGAGCGTCACGTTCTTGGCGGACACGCCGGCGTAATGGAACGTGTTGAGCGTCATCTGGGCGAAAAGGCAGAGGTGCCATTAGGCTTGGGAGCTATTGAGGCGGACGGGTGTTTCAAACCTCCTTGAGGTCATCTTCAGTTTCCAATTGCGAAGTCGAGAAACGAAAACCAGATGCTACAACCAAAGGGGAACGGGCCATGTTCTGCCTTGCAACAATCGACATCTGCTGCGTTCAGATGAGCATGTGGTCCTGAGGGTATCTCCATGGGCGCATGCGGACTGAAAAATACACATCTCTCCTCTAAACTCATCCAACAAGAGCCGGCATAACCGTTATAAGCGACCAAACAGATTACCTCCACAAGCCGCAAGCAAGCAGTGGGATTCAGTCGATGCAAATGAACCACAAAACGATCAAGGTAAAGCGTATACGAACCTGGGTGGCGGGCTCTCCGATGGACTGTGCCGCGACGCAGCCAATCATCTCCCCTGGGGCCACGAGCGACTGCGCGAAGCGCGAGCTGATCTCCCCGAGCAGCCACTGGAAGGCGGACTCGCTGAGCTTGAACTCGGTGAGCACGCGCTTGGTGGACAGCGTGCTGCGCAGCAGGATGCCGAACAGCAGCGTCGAGTTGCGCTGCGCCTCCACGCTCAGGCCGTCGTCGCCCTCCACCACCTGGAAAAGGGAATGGTGTCTCAGCCGCAGGGGAGAAGAGCTTAGATTCTCCACTCAAATCCTCTTCACTTATGCTTGTCCCGGACAATTGGATCTTTTGTCCATTACGCTCCTCCTGTTCGTTACAAAAAAACGCTACTAACGCCCAGGTCGTAATGTTTGCATGAAGAGACACTTCGATCACGACGGCAAGATCGACGGAAGTAGCAACTTCAAGCAGTCAATACCGACCACTAGTTGACGCAGATGCAGACTGCCGAGCCCCTCGAGCCCCGCCTGCCAAAAGCTGCTCTCCGAACACTTTGTCGTCCAACAGACACGCCCCCGCAACGAGCGGATCGAACAAGCAGAAACGAAGCGACGCCGAACTTATTTCCAATATCCTCACCATGAGCTGGCGCAGGAGTCGGTCGACGCCGGCCTTGATGGCGAGCACCTCGAGCTTGCTGGGCTCGTTCTTGGACTGCACGAACAGCTTCTGCGCGTTCCAGATCATGCGCTTCAGGTTGCACGGCAGCGGCCACGTCTTGTCCCCGCTCGGGATGATCTCCGTGCCCAGCAGCCGCCGGTCCTCCTCCAGCTGCCGAAGCTCCTCCTCTAGCACGCGCTGCAAATATCACACACGGGATGAGCCCAGCTCAAGACGCTGGGAGTTACGAAAAATTGAGGGTGCTTTGAAGTCGACAATGCTTCACAAGAAGATGCAGGCTAAGTGCCAGGATCGGATTCGCTGGAGTGCTTCCTTGAAGGAACAACTCTGCGCTTTTTCCTCATCAAAAAAAAAGGGAGGTCAGAAAACAAATCACAAAGCTTAGCTTGGGTCTTCTCAAATCACAGCTGATTTGCAAGCTCAAAACTGACTGGCAGGCTCCGAGGTCAGTGACGACAGGCTCCCAATCCCAAATTTTTGTATTTTTAAATCTGGAATTTTAAACTCTTAAATGAACCAGCAGCAGAAGTCTGTGCCACAATTTGAACCCGGCAAGCTTATGGTGATCTGACACGATCCAGCTGTTTCATGCGTCTAGAGAACGTCTCCATCAAAAGTTTAATCCTTACAGATCGGAAGAGCATAGGATTGACAAGCAACTCAAGCACTTCTGCTGGCCCACCTGCACGTCTTCCTGGTCGCGGATGTCCTCCACAGTCTGCGGGTCCAGCTTGTGCGCGTCGTGCTGCAGGTCGAACTTATATTTTTGGTCGAACTGCTTCTTGGTCAGCCGCAGCGAGTCGAACGTCTGGCTCTCCACATACACAGCGTCCATGCCGTCCTCGCCGTACAAGAACTGGATGACGTCACCTGGGGGGGATGAGCAAAAGTATCTCGTCAGCAACGTTGCAGGCGGACATGCTTGCAACGGAGATGTCATTGCGAGCTCAAGCTCGCATTGGAGGTGGAAAACGCTGTCTGAAATCGAACTCAGCAAGTTGATTGAGACAATAAGCTTCAGAAAGAAGCCCAGAACACGATGTTAAACTACAAAGAGAGCAAAGAGGAATGACGACCAACCCTTTCGAGTGGACTCACTCCTTGGGCTCTAAACAGACGCTTCGAAGACTCATCGTCCTCTCTGCCCACAAAACCGAGACATGATTGAACAGACTTCCTCACCCAGCGAGTTCCTGATGGTCCCATCGTACTTGACCATGACGTCCTCCATCGCCTTCACGAGCCTCCTCTGGATGTACCCCGTCTCGGACGTCTTCACCGCAGTATCAATCAGCCCCTCGCGCCCTCCCATGGCGTGGAAGAAGAACTCCTGCGGCGTCAGCCCCCGCAGGTACGAGTTCTCGACGAAGCCGCGACTCTCAGGCCCGTAATCGTCTTTCGTGAAGTGCGGCAGAGTCCGGTCCACGAACCCAAACGGAATCCGCTTCCCCTCGACGTTCTGCTGCCCGACGCACGCAATCATCTGGGAGATGTTGATGAAGGAGCCCTTCGAACCAGCTGTGACCATGGCCTTAACGTTGTTGCCCTCGTCCAGGCTGCTCTGCGCTGCGCGACCAGCCTCGTCACGCGCCTTGTTCAGCACCTAAATAACAGAAGAAAGGGTTTCATTAAGCACACCTTTTAGGATTTCCTTTCGCGTTTGTGAACCAGGAGGCAAAGTACAAGTGAAAAAGAGCCTTCTGACCTCACGTGATAAGATTGGGAGAAGGCAAAGACAACTTCAGTCTCACACTCGACTTAGTTCCTTGAAAGAGCTTTTGAGCTCTCAAGGACGCTTCTCGCTTCAACAAACAGCCTCTCGAACCTCGTCGCTTGTACAGATTAACCACTCCCTGATACGTCGCAAATTTACGAAACCATCAGCACCTATGAGCCCAAACCAAACGAGCCTGCTCGCACACAATCAACTACCACCTTTCCACACCAGCCTCACCTGGTTGACCCTGTTCTCAAACGACTCGAGCAGCGTACGCCCCGGCTGCGCCTCCAGCTGCTTCTCCTGCGCCTGCTTGATCAGGTTCTTCACCTCCTCCTTGGCGCCCGCAATCGTGCGGTTGATCGTTTCCATCGTCCCTGCGTCCGCAATAGTGTCCCCAATTCCAATACTGAACCCCTGCTGCAGCAGCCAGTGGTTCGTCAGCCACTGGCACTGCCCCAGAAAGCTGCGCGCCGCGTCGGGGCCGTGCTCCTCCCTGCAACAAGAAAAAGACTCATTTTGAATTTGGTGTTGACCGGTGGTGCATTTTGACTCGGAGCAGATATTAAGGGCAATGAGCAATCTTTTCATTCTTTCGTTGCTCCTTGAATCTTAACGATGGAACAGAGACAGAGCGCCGAAGAGAGCAGATGCAAATTCAGATACCGCAGTCCTCAATAGTGACAAGTAGGAAGAAGGACGGGCCGTCTGCACTCAAGTTGGAAAAAGTTGGGCTTTTCCACCTCGGACGAGTTTGAAGCACGATGAACAGTGTCTTCGGACAACGCTACGGCGTCAAATGAACGCCCGAGGCACGTTCCGCACATGCTTCAAGCAAAACCAAGCTTGCACAGGCAATGAAGCAGGCGAAGCAGCGGGCTCACCAGATGGTGTGGATCAAGCTCCCCCCCGACGTCCCCAGCGTCTTCTTGCACAGGATGCCCGACAGCAGCTCCCCCGACTCGATGCGCACCTGGGTGTCGCCCACTGAGATGTCGCCCGTTTCGCCGTCCGGGTGCCACGCCGAGAAGCGAATCAGGTTAACGTCTGGGATGATGAGTGTGAACACCTGTTTGCCGGTCCAGAGCGGGCGCGGCTTGAGGATGGTGGGGATGGGCACCGTGCCGTCCCAGTGCTCCATCCACATCAGGATGTTCATGAACAGGTCCTGCAGAAGAAGGGGCAAAAGCCTTCAGGCAGCTCCTCGGCAGAAGGATCTCCTGAAGTCACAAAACGGCTGCTGGCGTCTTATGGGGGACTCTCCCCTGAGAGATTCGCCAACGCACATGAAAAGCGAACAAACCCCCATCTGCAAACCTAGGAGAAATCATTCTGCTGATTCCACCCTACTCTCTTGCCAAATCTCCTTGACCCTTAAAATCTCGACCTCAAGCAGACACATGTCGGCCTCAAATTGTCCAAAAACGCGAAAGAGATGACGGGAATATGTCTTCCAGCTTTCGAAAACGCTAACTGATTTGATTCGGGCATCTTTCACTAACCTTCTGAAATCTACAACCAACAATACCTACAGAACTCCTATCAAGCCAGATGACACTCGCCCAACCTACAGAACTCCTATCAAGCCAGATGAAACTCGCCCAAAGTTTGTCACCCCCACCTACCTTCTCAATGAAGGTGTCGCGCTTGGTGATCTTGCGGCACCCCAGCAGCGTGTCCTGCACGATCCCGATGACCGGCCGGTTCGCCTGTGGCGACACGATGCACTTGGGCACCATCATGAGCTCCTGGATCTCGGCCTTGGTCTCCGTCGTCTGGGGCACGTGCATGTTCATCTCGTCGCCGTCAAAGTCGGCGTTGTAGGGCGTGGTGACGGAGAGGTTGAGGCGGAAGGTGGAGTAGTTCATGATCTTGATGCGGTGGCCCATGATGGACATCTTGTGAAGCGACGGCTGCCGGTTGAACAGCACCACGTCGCCGTCGCACAGGTGCCGCTCCACCTGCGAGCGGAGGGCGGGGGTTCGGATTGTGAGGAGTTGACCAGCTTTCTCGCGGGAAAGTGGGACTGAAAGCGGCGTGTGAGACAGTCCGGAGACCAGCGGGCGAGAATCTTGCATTAAGGGTACTAGATAGAATGGCCTACGCTTCGGGAACTGCTCCTTCGTTTCGAAAACCAAAACTGTCGACCTTGACGAGCAGCGCCAAAACAAAGAACTGGTTTGGAGTGCCTTCGTTCCACCACTTGGAGACCTAACGAAGGAGGGCCTTTTCTAGTGCGCCACTTTAGACATGCGCACGCGGAACATTCGGGGCGAGGGGCACCGTTGGACCCGCTCACCTTGTAGCCCAGCTCGAGGTGGCGGTCGCTGCTCTTCTTGAGGTACCGCAGGTCCAGCCGGTGGCCGTCCTCGCGGATGATGAACTTGGCGCCCGTCTTGCCGGGGGGCGGGTGAGGGCCGTTCTCCACCAGCTCAGCCAGCCTGTGAGCAACACGTGGTTCGTCAGTGGCGTTTCACGGAATCAAACTGGTCGGCCCGTCCATGCTAGAGCGTTCCTTGTATTTACCTTTTTGAGGGGAATGGCAGAATCGAAATGGTGCTGCACGACACCACAGCCTCGGCTGAAACATCTCATGTTGGCTTCTAGCAGTTTCGCCTGACACTTACCTAAGGGCTCCCTGACATTAACAAGCACGATGTGACTGGCAGATTGTGCGGAGTGCAAGGACCCGGTTCTCCTTGCGAAAACCCTTACCTCTCCCGGTTGTACGGCGTGACCGTTTCTGGGTACGTCATGTTGAGCGCAATGCTCCAGGGCACTCCGAGCATGTCAATCCCAATGTTGGGGTCGGGTGTGATGACAGTACGCGCCGAGAAGTCGACACGCTTGCCCATCAGGTTGCCGCGCACGCGGCCCTCCTTGGCCTTCAGCCGCTGGCTGATCGACTTGATGGGGCGGCCCGAACGCTGCAGGGCCTGTGACGAAAACGACAAATACATGAGCGATTATGACGAGCCTCACTTGCAAGCACCCCTTTGCTCCAGTGACAACCACACAGCTTCACTTTCAAGTACTCTGAGTAAGAGAGCTAAACACCGTCTAGTGTTGATGTGCTACAACACCACGTCTGCAAGAAGTGAAAGAAAGGCCAGAAGGATGAGGAAGATACTTACAAGAAGCAAGGCGGTTTTTCTGCAAACGCGTGATAGCAACCCGTCCTTTGTTGATAAACATCCAACCTCTGCCACCCTGGCAAATAGCTATTTCACAAAATGGCAAACTGCAAAAACAGGCGCCAGGAACAAGCCAGCCAGCAGGGGGCCTCACCCTGGGCAGTCCGGGGAGGTCGTTGACCATGACGGTGGCGATGTGGAACTGCAGTAGCTGCACGAATTCGTTCACAATGTGTGCGGGTGCGCCGCTCTGCTCGTGCTTCAGCAGGCTGTTGTTGGCGCGCACAATCTCGATCAGCTTGTGCGTCAGGTCGTCCTGCGGGGAGGGGGGATGGGAAGTTCAACAGCAGGTTATGTAAGGAAAGTTTCGAACTACTGCAACAGAACGGCCGTTGCTCTTGTAGATGTTCCGAATCACGAATATAACTAACCTGCAACTTTGTATACGCAAGAGAATCCATGACAGCTGTATTCAAGGTCCAAAGAACGTCCCGGATCCCACATGCCTCTGACTCGGATCGCAGCTAGAAGCTCCGGCATGCTGGTGGAGGGGACACATCCCTGTTTTCGAGTGTTCATTCCTTCAGCAAGCATAATACTCTCAAACCAAGCAATGGAGCCTTTCAAGCCCCGTACAAGATACAAACGCTTTGTATGGGAAGAGAGAAATAGAGCAACTCGGTTTTCCGATGAGAACTGCCAGCTTGCAACGAGCCCGTACCTCGCTGCGCGCGCTGCTGGACATCATGACGGAGGGCCGGACAGGGGGCGGGGGCACGGGGAGCACGCTCAGGACGAACCAGTCGGGCCGTGCGTACTTGGGGTTGAACCCCAACAGCTGGCAGTCCTCGTCGCTAATTCGCTTCAGAATGCCCTGGACCTGAAGGAAGGATGAGATGCATGCAGTCAGGATGGTGTCAGGTTGAAAACCTATGAATCGCTTCACAGCCAGGGTCGAAAGTGGCTCAGACCATCTGTTGATGGTGCAATCGAATCCATCGAAGCAGTTGATAGCAATCTTGCAAGCGCACGGCAGCGCCTTCTAAAACTACATTAAGGAGCCTCCCTGTTTCAACTTTCAAGAGATTCGACCTTGTTTTCCTAAACCAACTGCACAATCTACGCAACAAAAGTCAGAATCCCACCAAATTAGCACCAAAATTCCCAACTCCATCCGGACCACTATACAGGAAGCGACGCTTCTCCGGGCCCCTTACCTTGTCCCCATACCAGATTTGCTTGCGCTCCACCGCCTCAGGCAGCTGCACCTCGTCCTGATCTTTCTTGTTGGGGGGCTTGAACTCCGCCACGATCTTCATGCCCTCCACCTTCAAGCTCGGCTGCAGCGACCCGCACCCCCCCGCATGCTCTTTCTGTTCCCCGTCCTCCTCAGGAAAGTCGTCCCCGACGCCCTTTACCTGGGTGCTACCCTCGCAGATGCTCTTCTTGCAAAGATCCATCATCTTGCGCAGCCGCTGCTGCGGGTTGCGGATCTTCTTCACCTGGCTGAACTTGAAGTCCGACTGCAAGAAAAGACATGGCAGAGGGTGAGCATGGAGGCCCGACCCTGAGAGGTGGTTCCTTCTGAACCTGAGGGATGCATTAGAGGGGCGCAAAAAGCAAGCAACACAAATTCTGTGGCGTCTTCAAACGGTAGCAGGGAAAGAGGGGCTAGCGAGAAAAGCTGGCACAGTTTGGCCGAAGCCTGCGATCAGTGAGCAAATTACAGAAGGTTGGGTTCTGCAAAGAATGAACGAACTTCAAAGGAACAACCCGTGAACCTGGGATGACTCCAGGCATGCACGAACCACAACCCAGCCCGCAGACTGAAAAGTAAAAATTGCTGAAAATTTATGGCAAACCCGCTCACTTTGCCTCAAAACTTTCCAACAAAACCCCACAAGAAAACGAAGATTCAAACGGTAACCCCAAAGGAAAGAAAGACAAGCGCAAACCCCACCTGGTCTGCTAGCAGCCTGGAGCAGTTGTAGCACACGCAGCGCATGACTTTGAGCACCGTCTTGAGAAACCCGATGTGGAACATTGGCTTCGCTAGCTCGATGTGCCCAAAGTGCCCTGGGCACTCGGCCTTGTCGCACCCGCACGATTCGCAGCGCAGGGTGCGATCAATTGTGCCCATGCGCGGGTCAGACATGCCGCCATGCTTGGGCTTCCCGCGCTCATACGTCTCCCCAGAATCAATGAGCGCCACGGACATGCGGCGCTGTGAAAAAAGGGGTTTTAGGGGTCTGATTTTGGATGGGGTCGGGTTGCCAATGTTGAGAGTTAAGAGTTTCTTTCTAAAGGTGTTTCTGACCCAGCAGAATGAGAAAGTGGGCAATCATCAATGACCGGAGTTGGTGCCCAGGATAAGGGGTCTGCCGAGCAGCCAGTTAAGACAGACAGCCCCACGAATAGCTGGTATGAAAGTACATCAGCATGCTCAGAGCAAGCCCACGCATATCATCTTGCTGCTCTCCAACAGACAATTGCAAATTGGCTGTACAACACAAAATATTGAAGGTCCATACGATACTCACAACCATGCTCAAAGCGTCAGCATTTTCATGCAATGAGCGACCCTGGTTTCAATACTTTGCGGGACACTTTTTGGTACAATACCTCATCCACTCTAGCCTCGCCTTGAACTGATTCAGAGGCCGCAGAATCACAAGCTAATGGCAAATCATGCGCACAGCCCCGGATGTCCATGAACCGCCTTCTGAACAAATAAACCCATAGAAACTGAGGATACTTACGATCTCATCTGGGCTCAGCACGCCAAACTGCACGGTGCGCACACGTGCCACTTCTGCCGGCGAGTACTCAAAGCGCTGCTCCATGACTTCTTATGCCTTCTCTACAGCCTTTGCGGTTTGTACAATAGGATGTTGCTCCAATCAAAGCTGGCCGCCTACTAGTATAGCTGCTATAATGCGTTCTACAGCAGCTCGTAGTGCAAGCCCTCTCACATAAACTAATCAGAGCAAAGGGCTCTCTTATGCACAAACGACAGCGACCGTTACCATCGTGCAAAGCCCCCTGCTCTTGCTTGCGTCAGCAGCAATCGTTGGAGCCGCACCCAGTCTCAAACCGAACAGGAAGGCAACACGCCTTTCACCAAGGAGGGCGCCTTGCAGCAAGAAAGCGCCTTTGAGCCCGTTCTTGACTTCCGGAGAAGTGAGCAAGGAGGCACAATTTCCAGAGCTGGGTGCCCCCTATAAAATCCGTCCCAGCATCCTCCCGTGCGACGTAACGCATGGCGTGCGCACTGCAGTGCTGTCAGTCACGCGATCGCCAAGCGTTACAAGTTACATCATCATACATGTTGGACATGAGAAACCTCGGCCTGGAGGCTGGCGCTTGAACTAGAGCTGGAACAATTGATTTGGACCCATCCGAGATAACTCTCAAAATTATCCAACCGTCCATAGTATCAAGGCATCTTCAATCCAAAGGTCTAGAATTCAAGCTTTCAAGTTTCAGCAGTCCGGTCCGCCGTGACTTGAAGTTAGCATCACCGCCGCTTTACAGAGCGCGCGCCCTGCGATGGCCGCTCGCGCACTAACGCGTCGGAAAACTTTGCGTGGAGAAATTCAAAGCGATATGAAGACATATATACTTGACAGTTGCATGGCGCCAAGGCCCCACACGAATCACCTCGACTAAATCTTCTGGTGCAGTGCAGTGCAGTGCAGTGCATGCCAGCTCAGGATTGATGGCGAACCCAGAGGACTTCGATTTCACAGAGCCCAGGATCTTGTCATGTGCATCTTGCCGCACACACGCAACGCATCTGCAAACTTCCTCGAGATTTAAGACTTCGGATCAATCTCCAGGGAACTCCTCCGTTCCTTTATGATAGCCTGAACCGGTTAGTGTATAGCACCTTTCGTCTATAGAAGACACCATATCTGTCGACACCCCTTGCTTCGCTGGTCGGCTAAAATTCATTGAAAATCTTGGTCTTTTGATCGAGTTCTCCACTTGTCCTTCAAGTCGACCTGCACAAGGAGAGAGAAAAGGTGAGTTGCCATCCTCTTCCGCAAGAATCAGGGCGGCTGAACACAGGGCCACACGTACTTGGACTGATTCTCGACATGTTGCAAAATTGGTTCGCAAGCCCGCTTGAATGCTTTCCAGATGTTTGCGGATTCTCGTTTCCAATTTAGGTGCGCAGCACTCACCCCAGTGCGCCGTTCAAACACATGGGCGTATTCGGTGAGGATCCTTTTCCACTTGCCCTCTCCAAACCTGCACAAGACACCCATGTTAGTACAACGCAATAAAGGACCTCATCCGATAATGGCCGGGCACCATATCCTTCTCAAGGCCCAGAGAAGAAAGCCGACTGCAGCACATGGCCCATCAAAGTACCGCTAACTTCTTCCTTTATCATCACATCTTTTCCATCATGCGCGATAGAAATAGCAGCAGGTGACCAAAATTTCAAGGAGACATCCCTCGCGTTTTGACATGAGTAGTGAAGTTTCAAGGAGACCGCCCACCAACTGTGGCCACCTCGATTCTCACTTCTGCTGTCCATCCGACCCTTACTTACGAATCTGTCTACTTTCACGTACGGCCGCCGTTTCAATATCGTTTGATTGCCTCAGCTTTTGATGAGAAACAACGACGTATCAACCTGAAGGTCAGCAATGAGTGTTTGCTTGACAGTAATCTACCAGATTCTGACAAAACTCCGGTTTCACGCAAAGGCTGTGTCACGCCATCTGATAACTCCGCATCGATGCTCACTCTCTGACTCCCTTAAGGAGCGCCTCCTCCTCGGCCGGCCGCCACGGGTTGGTGGGCCGCCGCGGCTTGCCCGACTTGAGGGTGCTTTTAGGTGCGCCCTCCCCGCTCTTGCGAATCTTGTCGGGAGGAGGCTCGCGCGCGCCTGGGGACGGCAGCCGGGGGGGACGGGCGCCAGCCTCTGGCGTGGACTCGATGGGGTCTTCCTCCTCGGTCCACTGCAAACGAAAAAGGCTCCTTTTGAGGTTCTTTTAGATACTTTGCAGAAGAGGTGTGTCTTTGTACAAGCATAAAGGAATGTTCAGACGAACGTAGAAGGTGCGTCAGGAAAACCCAGACCTACAACCAACCTTGTGGGTTCTTCCTGTCTGGTCCGTAGGGCACAGAGAGAGGTTGCAATGAGATGGGCGACTTGTGAGGCGTGCCACTTCACATAGAAACCGACGATATGAGCAGTATATGTCAGGGTGGTCTTATCGCGAAGCTCGATGGAAAGTATCTCAGAGAACTTCAGAAGCTCAACTCTTCAGAACCTTGAAGTTGAGAACAATTCAACTCTGGCATCTCAAAGGACATTCCGTGCTTCTTGTCATTCAGAACGTATCAGTCTCATACAAAAGTCAGGGCCCGACAATCAACACGATGATTACTCTACGAGCGGACTACCTGGGTGGTAGCCTGGTCTCGGCCGACTCTTGATGTATCATCCGGCACTGAAAGCCTTTTATCAAAACAGAAGAAGGCAAAAAAATCGCGGTCTTTTTGCGCCCTCCCTTTTCGGCCCTCACCTCCAGCGTGCGTGCCCCCTCCTGCCTGTCCATCAGGCTCATCTTGGCCTTGCCCCGCTCCGCCGCGCGCTGCGCCAGCGTCTCGGGGCTCGGCTCCTCGCCCGCCCCCTCCTCCTCCTCCGGAATCGCTGCTTCTTTCTCCCCCTCTGGCTCACCGTCGGACTTTGCCGCCGCTGCGGTGGCAGCCCGGGTGGCCTTTCTAGTGGAGCGGGCACCCCCCGCTTGCGCGAGCACCGCTGGAAGGGGGTCGTGGCCCATTTGGCGCAGCGCCTGGCTCGACTCCCGAAGGTCGTCGATCACAGCAGCGGCGTCGGGGGCAGGCAGGGAGCTGCGGGCAGACAGAAGGGAGGAGAAGCGGTTTGCTAAGAGAAGGAGGTTGGGGGGGCATGAGGGATGCCGCAGCACAATGAAGAAGGCGCGGTTCTCAGAGCAACGGGGAAGAGGGGTCCCGCCTGCCTTTTGTTTCTGGCAGTATGACACTGCAGAAATGACTCTTGACTTCGTTTGGATGTTGATACTCAGCGTCACGACGTAGCCAGGTTCCCTTATAGCGAGCATGAGGGAGGGAAAGACAAGCGCCCTGGCTCAAAGCTGAGCTCTGCACGTCAGGAAGCCAACATCAACAGCAGATTTTCTATTGAACGCATATCTTGTGCCAACTTGACAAAGCTGAAGTTCCTTCTCACCTGGGGGGCTCGTCCTCTCGCTCGGGGCTGGGCAGGTCCGGCATGGCCTCGTCAACTTCCCCGCGCACTTCCGTCGCCACAGGAACTTCCACCGGTGTCGGAACCTCCGCTGCTGCTGGGGCCCGGCTGGGCTCGCCGCCCGAAAAGCGGCGCCTCTTGCTGCGCTGTAGACCAGAGCTGCCAATGGTGCCCACCTCCATGGCTGCAAGGTATCAGGATTTAGGGTTTTGGGGAGGAAGGATGTTTTGGATTTTGTCAGCGCAAGAGGAGGCGGCATGTGGCTGCACATGAAAAATCTGGCTCGTGTGAACGTAATAGTGCAGAATTAGGGTTTTAGGGTAAGCGCAAGAACGAGGGATCACGTGCAGGGGGCATTGTGAAGAGTACAAATCACACGCACACACCCGAAAGGTGGGGCAAGGCATTGATTTTAAAAGTTTCATGATTTGGGGGTAGGCACAAATATACTAAAGGGTTGATGCTTATTGAGGAGTTAGGGTTCTGAAGCAGATGCTGAAAGAGAGGTCCGATGCGATTCTAGTTGACAGATTTAGGGTTTGATGGGTGGCAAAGGAAAAGATGGACAGATCTATCTTATGCTTCACAAATAGGATTCGGAGCAAGCGAAGGGCACTTTCTGATTTCATTCTGGGCATTTAATGGTTTTAGGGTTCTGAACGCATGGGGGGGAATTAGTCACAAACATGCATGCCCTTGGATACTATGGGAATGCAGTGAGTGCTCAGATAAAAGTTGACACATCAGCCAACGACCAAGACAAGAATCCAGATCGTGGATGCCCCACCTCGCCGTGCATCCTTGGCTGGGAAGCTCGCCAGCAGCTCTTTCATCGTAACCACCAGCCCCTGCGGCGCCTCCGCCTCCTCCTCCCCACCCAACTTATACCGGCCCCCGCTGATGTCATCAGCCACCAGCTGCAAATACGGGGGTCCCACAGCCCCCCACGCCGCTTCCAGGAACGCGCGCAGCGCCGCCACGAGGGGCGCGCGCGGATACCGCTTTGCGATCTTCTCCTGCAGGGGGGGCGCCAGCTTGGCTGCCACCGCCCACAGCTCCTCCTGCGCTTTCTGCAGGCCCCCCCACTGCTCCTCCTCCGTGTCGGGCACGCTCTCAGGAAACAGCTCCTTTAAGCTCTCCTCGAACGCCGCCCAATCGGCCGTCTCCTTGCGCAAATGCTGGAGCACAACCTCGATCTTGACCCGTCCATAGAGCTCGGGGCTCGGAACGACGGGGCGCCAGGCGGGGGTCCCCTCGAGGCGGGCGGCCAGAGCTTGTAACCCCGCGAGCGCGGCCAGCGTGTCATGGTCGAAGCGCCCCCTGTCTAGTTGCTCCTGAAGGTGGCGCAGCAGCTGGAGGCGGTTGAGGGCGGGGTCCTGGGCGAGGGCTCGGAAGCGGGCGCCCCCCAGGATTGTGAGAGCCGCATAAGGGGTCGCTTGGTCTTGCAAGAGAAACTCCCACATCCACCTGTCGCGCAGCGATGGGCCTGAAGGCTCCACCATGGGTGCACCCCAAGGGGAGGGAAACTTGGGGGCAATAGGGTCTGTAGAAAGGCAGCACCTATTGCTTATCAGGGGCGCAGGATTTGGATGCTCCACTCTTTCTTGGATAGCGAGCTGGGTTCCATCTACAGATGCAGTCCTAAATGTAATGGCCCCAGGCCTGTATCCAGGGGCCCCATCAGCAAGCTATCCACCATCAGAACTCTCATTGACCTGCTGCATTGCGTTAAGTATATCTCAATCAAAGTGCAAGCGCTTGGTAAACCAACTGGTATGAGCGCAGGAATTACCATCTCAGAAAGATTGGTGAATGAGATAATGGCGGTAAGTTTTACCTTCGACGCTCCCGTGTACTTACAGTCCTTTTCCAATTTGCTTACAAGCAACTCAAACACTTCCTCCCACCGTATGTCAGAGATATTGCTGCGGGCCCCTGCTTGTGAAGTACTCTTCAAGGAAATTACCTCCACCAGACTCACCGTGATGTGCGATCCAGCTAATCGCTGCTGTTTGATCCGAGCATGTGAACCGGAAAGTAAAGCTCAAACTGTCTGAGCAAGTGTTGACAGAGGAAGCCTATGCCTCAACAGCACAAAGAACGCATGCAGGAGCTGGGATCTGTTTGGAGTGGGCGCTCGGCCCAATTGGAGACAAAGTGGCACCTGAACTTGAAGTTAAAGTGGGCGTCGGGGTATAAAACCCCTATCTCCCAGACTGAATCGGGAGTCGGCCAAGTCACAAGTGGGTTACTGTGGATAGCGTGCTCGCCTACGCTCGGCTGATCCTGAGTTCGATTCGCAGAGGTCCAACTTTTTCGAGGTTTTCTTCTTCCTTTTTGCAACCCCAAGCTATTAAGG